CTTTATTTGTCATAATATTTGCGGAATATTTTGATCTAGTTTTTACCTTGCAAACAATTTTATAAATGATGTTTTCCTATAAAAACATTCACTTCTCACTACACTTTCAAGCAGGTTTTTGTGGCAATTTACCTTCCACCAAACTGGAAACAGTGTCCAATGAAATTAAGGGGTTCTGATGTTATTATCCGCTGAAAAGGTTGACTATTATTTACGGAGAGCCATAAGAAATGTATGAGAATAAAAATAAAAAAGCATTATGTGACTTACTGATTAATGTCCCTGGTTATATTAAAATTACTTTATTTAACGACTTGGTTGAATTAAAGATTTTACTATAACCTGTCACACTACATGCCTAATAAGATTCTGGTTCTTACAAAAAGTTCGGGGCTCCCGAAGTATGCGAACCAAGGTGGCGGACATCGGAATGTAATATGTGTACTAGGTTACGGATAGGCCATAATTTTAAGTATAAATACTACGGGAGGCTCTTGGCTAGTCTTTGAACTGATTATAGGACTAAAATAACGGAAATTGGAAAACAATTATCGCCTAACCCTAACCTGTTACCCATGTTACGTTCCGATGTCCGCCATCTTGGTTCGCATACTTCGGGAGCACCAAAAGTTCTTTATGTATCAGCATATGCTTGTCTAATGCCTTATTTAGAACGAAGGAGTAGAATGCCTCATACAAACAAGAGAGCGATGCTCCAATATATGGAAACGAAAGCCAAAGCGAAGCTGTAGTCTACCTACCTTTAACAGAGCACTGCCTGATCTATTGTGTGTTATATATACGCCTTGCTGTACGGTACGGTGAAAAAAATTCCGATTTTCGCGTAGCACGGGAGTAGCACAATAGAGGTCGAAGAACCGCTGCAAACATTCTTATTAATTTTGAAGACATCATCACACAAAACTTGTAAACAAAAAACGAATAACATGGAGCCGACAGAAAGTTTTGAAATAAATAAAAGAACTTAACGAGAATTTCACATACTTCGTGTCCAATAATCAGAATGCTTTATCTCGAGCTGATTGCCCGTTCGCAGAAAGTCTTCATTATAACTTTCATTTTGACAATTTCAGATTTTCAAATTTTAAGAAATTATGGTCTGGAAACTGGTACATTTCTCCATTAGACGGTAATTATCTTGTTAGGCGTTTCTGTTGAAGGATTTTTAATAAATGAATAAAGATCATGCTTCTGTAACGTCACAATATCATCGATCATTAGGCGGGAAAACTGTCATCAATCAATTTGAATTTTCAGACGAAGTTATTCAGGTCACGTGACCGGATGCTTTCCAGAAATACTTTTAATCATTGTGATGCAACAACTTATGATATAATTTTGGAAGAAAAGTATCGATTGATTGAAAAATCTCTAAGTTTTCTTTAATAACGCCCTTTTCTAGACAGCTTGCATCGCCGCACTAAAATCAAATTGTCTCAAATTGTGTTTTTCCGAAACCGACTTCTTTGATTCTATGTTATTGTGATCCTGGGCCATCTTTTGGTCTGGGCTCCATAGCTGTACCTGTTTTCAGTTTTGATTTTGGGTTGTGCCTTGTGACCATTTTCAATTTTGACTGTTAGAATCAAACTTTCAAGATTTTTATCAAAACTTCAATATGTGACGTCCTAATTTGGTTATACTGCGGCTGTATAGTGTCACTTAATAAATTTTACAGTGTTATATTACCACTGGAGCTCAATAGACATAACATGGACGACGCGTCGTATAATCTAACATGATTAATACATTCTAAAAATGCTGAATATGGAATATATTCTAAAATAAAAATACCAGAAATTGCCAAACACGTATAATTAACCATTTTAAAGACATTCTGGAAACAATTTTTGAACTTCTTAATGCGAATATATCCTAAAGAGTCAGGCCCAACAGATAATTGCACAAAGCAGTGCCATTTTTTGACAAAATTTGATAATGCGGGAAAACAATAAACACTCGATATAGCAACATGGATGGTAATGGCAACATGGCCAAGCCGTATAATTCACTTTTCCAAACACATTCTAAAAAATTTTTTCTCGAATATCTGAGGCTAAATTACTGAATCGAGTCACGGTGAACAAAAGTTCGCCTAAACGAGTGTAATTCTTAAAGACACAATTAAGCAACGATAACTATAATTTCAACGTTATTTTTAGTCGAGCATATTCGAACATTCAAATTATTTTCGTCAAGATTAGTCTTATATTTAATAACTAATTGAACAAATGGTACCAACAATAAATTGCATAGTTCGCTCAAAGCAGTCATCACCTGAAATAATTTGCCTTGAAAAAACTCAACGTTATTGCCAGGAAAGCAGATTGGCGAATTGAATTCCGCAAAGGAGAATTTTTCGAAAAGACACTAAGCTTAGTAAAAAATGGGCGAGGCCGAAAATGAATGTGAGTGAATTGCTTATCTAATAGATTGAACGAAAACCATTGTTTATTTTATCATAAACATACCTAACCGCATATTGTGAATCACCATTAGCACTGACATAAAATAAAATAAAATAGCAAAATTACCCAACTATATCAGGTAATATTATACTCCATGGTTATATGGCAAACTATCTACATTTCGTTCCACATTTCATAAAACACTGGCCGGCATGGTCTGAGATACAGAATATCTTTAAGTTGGACAAGATTATAGCTTATAGCAACGGTTCCTAACCACGGGCCACGAAGCAGTTGGTGGGGCAACAATGCTAGACGAAAATTGATTTTACTTTCCCTTTATAAGAAAACTCCGTTCTTCCTAGTTTCATTGCTTGATAAGGTCATTTCATAAGGTGTTTTCACTTTGTCGAGCATGAATTGTTTGAACATAATAGAATTTGGAATCAACCAATTAAAATAACACTATAAATACCACTGGAATGATGAACAGGGAGCTGTGAGTGTTAAAGCCTTCTGATTGGGGACTACGAGCCATAAAAGGTCAGACCACTGGCTTATAGCAATTGAAATAACGTTATCCGACCTTATATTCCGAGGTGAAATTTAATCTTGCTGTAATTACAAACTCGAATTTAACGATTTTCTCAACAGTACATCCGAGAAATAAACGAACATGCAAATGCTTGTTGAACCCAACGTCACAAAAAGGACTTATTATATGATAAGAACCAGTTTTTATATTTAAAAGTTGGTACTCCCGGAGTATGTGAACCAAGATGGCGGACACCGGAACGTAGTATGTGTACCAGGTTAGGGTTAGGCCATAGTTTCAGGTACAAATGCTACAAGATTCACTTGGTTAGTCCCCGAACTCGTAATAGAACTAAAATAAGGAAAATTAGAATAAAACTATGGCCTAACCTGGTACACATACTACGTTCCGGTGTCTGCCATCTTGGTTCACATACTTCGGGAGTACCAAAAAGTTTCCTTTTACAGTAGCGCAAATATGCGTATACGTTGGAGATCCATGAATGAAACCTATGATTTTCATGTACAACTAAAGACCAAGTAAGCCAACTCTCAAGTGACAAATTCAGCCGACTAGCTAGTATGATTTCGTCAAGTAATCATAACGTCAAGTAAACAAGAGAGCTATGCTCAAATATATGGACACGTAGATTCACATAATTTTGATGACGTCACAGCAAAAAATAAAAGTAATAGCCCTCTAGCAAAAAATATAATCTCTACTCACTGAAAGTTTCAAAACGATTGGTCCAGTAATCAAAGAGAAAAGCGATTTATTCAAAACGTGTCAAAGAACAAGAGCAACATAGCAACAAAACGATCGTTATGTCCACTACGTGTCCAATAAAATCACTGGGACTCCTCATGCTGCCGCTTTTCATTTTAAGGGGGTGTTTTCATATGAAGGGGTGGTAGATATTTTGCTATTAGCGATAGAATTATTTGTAAATCATAAAAATATGTGTTATGTATTATTGGACTAACTATTTGCACTGGTACATACAATACTTTCTAGATATTCAAACAAAGTTATGTTTAACTTAGGAATTTAGGCATGGTGCCCCACCTCAAAGTTAGGGGAGGGGGGGTAGGGTTACCATATTTTTGGGACTTCAAATTGGGACGCCTCAAAAAACAACGACCCCTTAGCTTTGATTCTGTAACTTCACATTTTCCGATTTTACTACATAGGCCTACATTCAAGGCTGTCCCGGCTGTCTTTTTTCACCATATTGTTATCGAAATTTCATGCGCATATTCTCTGTCCAAATATCGGGTTTAGTTTGAAAAATAGGAAGGAATTGACGTTAACGATACCGGTACAAATAATTCGAATTTAGACGAATTAGTATTGGTTTTACATGCGATACGTCTGCCATCAATGAGAATCAGCGGGAAACGAACGCATTCACCTTCAGTAAGTAGGCTAGCGTTGCGCTACACAGAAACAACAGTAACGAGAACATGTATGTGTATTATGCTGGAAAAGCGGGACTTTTGGCTGACTGATGGGGACGGCGGGACAAAACGCTGAAAAGCGGGACTGTCCCGCCTAAAGCGGGACGTATGATAAGCCCAGGGGGGGAGGGGGGGGGGTATTTGAAATTCTAGGGAGGGTGTTCTCACATGTTCTCATATAAGCATAATATTTTAGCTAACAGAATAAATTAAATTCTCTTATCATTATCTGACATGATTTTATTTTTATATTGAAACTTTAAATGAGTTCCTGTCCCCAAATATCTAACGATATTTCCCATATTCTTGACGACAAACTTTCAAATCATTTCATTCCCATTTCGCAAACATTCTAATATCGCTCAATTTGCCGCTGTAATATCAGTATCAGTAGATACCGACACTGAAGTGGCTTAGATGCGAGTGAAGTTGACCAGTTGAAAACAAAAAGCTGGGGGAACATACTGTCACCCTTACTTCTAAGTAAGTGCACATGACTTTGCTATATACAATTTTTTTTTCTGAAAAATCTTCCAACGTAAATTTTTTGCGGGTGATACTAACTAAATTCAGACTTACCGGCGTACAAACAGAGCAGTCAGGCTTCGCTTTGCAGTTTGCTGGACAGGCGCAAGTAGGTTTGCCTTGTACCGCTACGCATTTGTATCCACTGCACTTATGCCCTACGCAGATATCTTTCGGTGTTTCTGCAGAATAACAAAGATTACATATTAACTTTGAGCAATGTATTTAGTGTTCCTATATGCATTTTTAAAGAAAAAATATCTTGTTTCAAAGTGAAATAATACGATTCAAAATTTGCAGATTGAACAAAATAACATTCTTACGCTTTAACTGCCTTTTTCAATAGTAATTTTTATTTTTCGTTCATGCATTTAGTTTTATACACAAAGGGAACACTGTTTAGTTACATGCACAGCACGAGGACTATAAATACAACATGCATGGTACTCATCGGTCTCAATGTGTGTTTAACAAACCGTTTTCATCACTGCTTTACGGCACCTTTGTCCCGCGCTGGTACCGGAATTTATTGATGTTTAAATTGGCCAATAAATGACGTGTGCAAACAGAGGACCTGTCCCCATCGGGTACAGTGCCGGTACGATAATCACGCGGAAATGGGTCAGTGAACCCATGGTAACGGCAGTCGCCTGTCAACTGCGAGTGACACGTGGCGGATTTTGTATGTTTATTGTAATTTAAAACATAAAATACGGGCGGATGAGATCCGTGGTACTACATTTCTTGCCGCGCCTCCAATTTTCTAATATAATTTATTTAATTCTGCATATCATAGATGTGGCTAGGTTAGGTGGAGCAATGACCCAATTTATTCAAACCTAAAATGAGGAGAATTGAAAAAAAAACGGTCAGCTGTGGCCGCACTCAAACTGTTATTTAATTGCCCGAAAATATTGCCCTAAGACGCGGGCATCTTTGCGACAAAGGTACTTGGTCTATTTTTATATCCATTACCTAAACACCAATAGCACTCAAACAGTTATTAAACCGGGTTTAGTTCAATCAATTGAGATGCCTTTATTCAATCGACACTAAAGCAGATCGCCATGGCGAAGTCTGCTTTCCATTACCACCGCAACTCCTACGTCACTGCCAATCATTAAAGCGTGACCAATCAAAATAATCTGATTCCAACGCTAGGCTACCGGTGCTGCAATGTTCCACGACATTGGCAATTCAACTTAAAAGTTACTAAACCCAATATGCGCTTTCTATAAATATTAAAATAAAACTTTTACATGATATTTATAATGCACTCACCGCATCCATTTTTTTCCGTATTTCACGACTTCGGCAAATCGTCGAAAGCCAAAACTCAACGGGCGTCCACGTTGCCGCAAAACAGCAGCAAATACATTTATTGCAAAACAATGGCTTACTTAAACACGTAACAAATCATTGCCCGGGGTGTTATCGACTTGCGTTTTTCGCGAATATGTCGTAAATTTCTTGTATTTTTACAGTCGTTTTACGGTTCCATTACAATGGATTTTAAGGAGTTAATGTTTTGAATACCATTGGAATACTTTTGCGTTGCTAATTTATAAAATTTATCGGTGAAAGGCGATAAAACTGTAGTTTTGTCTGGGAGGCTGCTTTGTTTATACTAGAACGAGACATAATGAATAAACGTTTTTTCTAAGTTTCTTTGGTTTCAATAAAATTCGTTACTCCCGTAGTATGTGAACCAAGATGGCGGACACCGGAACGTAGTATGTGTACCACGGGAGTCACTTGGCTAGTCCACGAACTCGTAATGGAATTAAAATAAGGAAAATTGGAATATAATTATGACCTAACCCTAACCTGGTACACATACTATATTCCGGTGTCCGCCATCTTGGTTCACAAACAACGGGAGTACTCAGAATTCATGAACCTAACCAAATCAAGTTCAAAACGCAGTGTTAGTATGTATGAACAGTGCTGAATTAAGCAAAATAAGCACGTGCTTCGGGCACCAAGGAAAAGCGGGCACCGCAGAAATTTCCGAAGACAGAATTTTGATGGTGTCGAAGGTGCCAACTCACTAACAATGGTCTTCCTTTTGTCGTAGGCCGCATTGACGTGGTACGATTTAGGCTTCATTCAGTGGTGGGATGCAGCCGGTTCCCACCGGTTTTAAAGGAACCGTCTCACGGAATTTTACGAGATCAGCGAACCGGTTAGCATTACTGGTTACTGTCAATATTCTGTTTGTAACAAAACCGGCTAAAAAATATGACTTTTGTGAAGGAACCGGTTGACAAAAAATTTGAATCCCACCACTACATTGATCTGATACATGGCGCATTTGTTGCGGTCGTCTAACTCAGGGCTACTCAACTATTTTCACCAAAGGGCCATTAGGAAACTTCAAACTTACTGGGGTTCGGACATTACAGAAAATTTATTTCATTAAATAAACGAAACTTCAAATGCAATATTAAATTAAATACAAGAGGAATGAACACCTCACAAATATGAATACAAATGTCGCACATCGGTACCAGTACGACAAACTGTGTAGTTGATTTTTGCATCTAAAACTATAAAACGAGGCTTATGCTGCCAAAATAAAAAAGCAGACGGTCCAAATTGAATGATCGAAAGGTCCGGATTCGGTCTAACTTGGTCGTCTAACTTCGGACCTTGGTTTAACTAAGACAGTGTTTCCAAACCTACTCGACTGAAAAATATTTTGGGTCGCTTGTTTTTTCAACAAAAACCTGAAAGTTACTGATTTTATTGAAGTGTTAATAGTAATTAGATATATGGGAAGTATCACAGCGTAAAAACTTAACATCGTTTGATTTGTGACCAGAAATATATTACATGCTATTTAATATTTAAGCTTTTCCCCGAGTCACGCGATTTTACAAAAAAATTTTTTTTTAATTTGAGTCGCTTGAAAAAAAGGTTTGGAACCACTGGTCTAAAGCCTAATGCAAGAACGCTCGCCACCGCATCTCTGATTACCCTTCGTGGGATTGCAGGTTCGAATTCCATGCGGGGATGATCATGTGCGAGAGGATTGCTGGACTCCTCGCCGCCGCAGGGTGGTTCACGTAACCGCTGGTCGGTTACGGCTTCCTCCACCATCAAGTCCATGCTTCCGAAAACAAATAGCTGGCTAATTAATCCCATACCCGACCTGGACTGGTAACCGGACGAGAGGCCGTGGTTCGCCATATTATTAAGCCGTCTGATCGGTTTTCCTCTCCCCCGGGATAAATATGTAAATCCTATCCTAAGAACGCTCGCTAATTATCACGATAAAACACTTGAATCCCTCTATCGCCATTATTTTATAGTAGTTAACCAAATAAACACTTACTTGTCTTGTCGCAATTTTTACCAGTGAATTCCCCCACGCAGACGCAATCATAGGCATTCAAGGTTTGAACATTCGGTTTGCATGTTGCTCTATTCTTACATGGTCCTGGGGCCGGATGACAAGGGTTCGGTAGGTGGCAGTATTCACCAATTTTATCGGGAGGACAGTCTTTGCAAACATTCTTGGAACCACTTGGAATGCAAGTTCCCCTGTTGCTACGACAGAGCTGGCATGGATCTAAAAAAAGAAAAATTCATTGGCAAACATTCACCGCCGATACTCAAGTGACACATATTAAAGGAGCATTACATATTTTTATAGGGGATTTCCCCTCCTAAATATACACTGATACGCAAAAGCATTTTATGTTTTTGAAGGAATTTATTCCTTCAATGACACATGTATATATATAATATCTTAGATAGTTACGAATAGGGATGAATAGAGGGTCCCAGACGCCATAAGGTTTCCTTCGTAGAGGGCATATTTGGCTGTCATCAAAACATCGAACTTTACTTTTATGGCAGCTACCCCAGACGTCTGCATCATATTATGTAAATACTTGATACCTTGAGTCCAATATTATAGATTTAAAATAGATTTCCGAAGTTGGTATAGTAAATTATTGCAATAGCTCAAAAAATACTACACGGGATTGAAAAATGACCAAATTACGACATTTCCAAAAAATAACTGCGACTGATTGTTTGTATTAAGAGAAATAGCATGGAAAACGTATAAAAATATGATAGCTTTATTCGCCTACCTTGTGTTAAACAATTCGTTCCAACCCATCCTGCGATGCATTCGCATTTATAGAACGGCGAAGTCGCTTTTTCTTTGCATGGAGCACTATTCTTACATGGATTAGGAAAGCATTTACTGCAACCATGACGAAGTTTTAAACTGTAAAGAACATTTATAGTTATAAACGATGGTATGATAAGTTTATTACGGTACCGAGTCTTTCGTAAAAATTTCCCAAGAAAATACAGGGCAGGCCAAAAGTAGGACAACAGTTATCCACAGTTATTTGGGTCCCATGTGTATTGTGATAGCATAGAAGTATCTAATCTGCCAAAGCATTTACCCTTCCTTTTTTTCAATTGAGGGGGGGGGGGGGGGCGTTATTAGACCATCATCGCGTAATGATAGTGCTCAGAAACTTAAAAAAATTCGATTACCGATGTCCCAGGTAAATCCACAGTAAAGGATTTAAATCTATCAATAAGTATTCCAGAGGCCTCTCAAGTTCGCTGGAAAATTCCCTTTCGAAAGATATTGTTTGATTAGCATCTTAATAAACATCAGCTCAATGACGAATATTTTTAAAAATACGATTACCGCGTTTCGTGAATGTCGACATAAACGTCAGTTTATAGCCGCTCAAATCCATACCGCCCGACAAAACGCGATGCTGCCACTTTCACATATTACACACACGTTTGCGAAAAACACATCGAGATATAAGTTAGATAATTTCTTCAGAATAAATTATCACTTTCTCTTGAGGTCTGGAAACTCAGGATTGAAAGAAAAGTTAATTTTACTCGTTCGGCTTGAAAAAAAGTTATTGCTTTTTATAAGGCTATATACAACTTCTCAAGCTTTCAAGCAATGCGGCAAGGCAAATCAAGTCTTGCGCCAAGTTAGATTCGAATTTATTACACCTTTAACATAATTAAAACGTATTTTATATCTTAAAAACACAACATTCGCATAATATTAACACAAAACAGCTAGACGTGTCTACCCAGAACAATTTCTCGATAAGCAATGCTAGTTATCAATCCAGACTTTCCTGATATCGTTTCCCGAGCACCGTGCCATAAATACGTGAGATTGTCCACACGAACTATAGAATGAAATTTTCCTTAAAATAATTGGTATTTAAACGGAATTCCCTAATCGATCAATTTTAATCGAAAACGAAAGATTTCCTAACCAGGCCAAATCCCTTACGACCATTCTTCGCATGCAATGCAAATACGCCAAAAGTCAGTGTTCCCATGCGAATAAATCAAACCTGAAATTTTATGTTCGAAACGAAACCATACAGGAATAAACAGTTATTGTTAAGTTATATATATAAAAAAGGTACTCCCGAAGTATGTGAACCAAGATGGCAGACACCAGAACGTAGTATGTGTACCAGGTTACGGTTAGACCATAATTTCAGGTACAAATACTACGGGAGTCATTCGGCTCGTTCCCGAACTCGTAATAGAACTAAAATAGGAAAAATGGAATTAAATTATGGCCTAACTCTAACCTGGTACACACACTACGTTACGGTGTCCACCATCTTGGTTCACATACTTCGGGAGTACCCAAAAAATCCATATTTTCCTTAAAATTATAAAACACAATGGGAACACAGATTTAAAAAAAATTATAATCGCAGAATGGTGCTAATGTTCCACATCCAAATAAAGATTCTGCACGGCCACGCGTAAATATTATCAAATCGAAGCATAAAGTTAAGGAAGGCACTTGCTTGCGTAAACATGAATTAGGAGGAAATTATTTCTGTGAAGGAAATAATAATCGCTCCAATTATTGCTGTCAAAATTACTTCCACGATTTCCGGTTTGTCAAGAAAACGGAGCCGGACTTTTTTTTTTTTTATCGTCGAAGCTTAGGAGTGATATAAGGTGCAGGCAGTGCCTGGTCGGTTCGAATCGGAACGTTTGACCTAGTTTGTCGATTTTTATTGAAATTACAACAAATATGTAACACAAATACTTTATTACACTTTATCAGGGTGGTCCAAACCCAGGCCCGCGGGCCACATGTGGCCTGCCGCTTCATTATCTGTGACCCGCGTCACATTCGGAGAGTAATCAAAAAATCGCATTTTGTGTTGTTTCGTAATAAAACTAATCAGAAAAGTCTTTTGACATATTGTTACATCACTAATGTCACTAAATTGACTAGTATTATGGCTAGCTGAGGCAACTAGCGAAGTTGAATGATGTGATTGGCAGTCTAAATTATTATCTGGTTTTCTAACAATTTAGTCGGGAATATATGCTAACAATATAAGCATTAAGAAAACTAAAAATCGAATGCGGTTTCTATTAGCCTGGGATGGCTATGTCTGATAACTATGTGTTTGCACAATAAAAGTGTTTGTTTTGTATTGCACTGTTAACCTATTCTTGGCACTATTGCGCCCGCGAACAATGCGAAAATAATTTTGTGGCCCGGGGGGCTTACAATCTTGGACCACCCTGCTCTATATTGCTAAGCCACCGCTACTAAAGGATTGCGAAAATAATTGAAAGTTCGGACTTTTTCCAGTTACCCCCAGTTTCGAATGGAACAACAGACCAAAACAATTCCATTTCTATCATAACTTCAGAAGCCCAGCTCGCAAGCGTTTGTAAAAGAACAAGGAGCACAATTAGGTGACCTGCTCAATAATCTCATTATTTACATTACATGAATTACGGTATTTGTCTGTCTGTTAGATGCACGTGATATCTCACGAAAGCGCGGTTGAATCTGCTTCAAATTTTGCATGTACATTTATCATATCCCTAGACCGGAAGCCTAATTAATTGATTAGTGATGGGACATGCGGTGTCGCTAATGAGTCAGAGCGAAGGATACACGTCGCTAGATTGATAAGTCGGCGGCCTCTGATTACTATCTCGCTATTTACATTACACGAATTACATAATTTTAATTTACCACACTGTTTGACCGACTGACGCAACAAGCTGTAAATACACAGGTCAATTTGCAGCAAGGAATCTCGCATGTAATAGTAACGCGTGTTACTTCGCGTAATAATGATAATGCAATCTTATAACTGGTCCCACTTCCAGAATAAGTAATGAACTCGTAAATTATATTTATGGCTGGGCATTTTCGAACACCTGATGATTTCAGAATCGAATCGAATATTTCGAAATTGTTCAATAACAAATAACAAACAGGTGACGCAGAAGAATTTTCATGCGACCCAACTTTGGGTCGCGACTCGATTGGGGAACATTTGAGTTAGAGGATCTTAGTCTTTGATAAAAGGTAAATCGAGTTCATCGGTAGTCGAATCAATAACCTCTCTCCCGTAATCCATATAAAATCACGTCCTATAATAAATAAACGAAAATATCAGTCGGTGACCCGAAGACTTATCGATCAAACTGCGGTTTCGATTCATGACTCTATAGTAACACCGCGTGTTTCATCACTAATTGATTAATAACTCGCTAATTATACGACAAGATTCATCCAAAATCAATAGCCTTCTGGTCCGAGATATGATGAATGCACATGCAAAATTTGGAGCAGATTCAACCTTGCCTTCTTGAGATATCGCGTTCATTTAACAGACAAACAGACAAATAAATACCTATCAACATACTAGTAACAACTTACTTTTCCCGAACTCCAGTAAACGTCACCAATGCCATTTTTGTCGCCACTTGGAGCGGTGTTGAGTGGGGTGTGGGCATATAGGGAGTGAGTGCAGCAGCTTTAATTCCCCCATCTTCTATAGCTATTGCGTAAGTCTCAATTTTCTTCGACTGCAGGCGAGCTTTTATCGTTGCTGGTGTTACCGTATGAGGCACCAACTCCGAGTCCACTATCAAAATTGCCACCTAGTGCAAATTAGGTTTAAATTATAATTGTTATATCTCCCAGTTGCCATTTGAATGGTTTGCTCTGTACTGGATCATTTGGTTATCATTTATTATAAACAGCAGATAGAAAAATAGGGGTGGATATATGGTCATATGCAGAAGCAGTGGCACTCGGTAAACCCAATTTAAAATTTTATACTCTGGACATCCACCTATCGAAAAAATAACTTTGCTAAGGTCTGGGGAGGGCGTACCTTAGCTGATGCGGTATAGTAAGTGTTGGAAGAGATGGGGATTAACTGAGTACAAAATCACGACTATTATTAGTATTGCGTTTACAGAATAAACACGGTGGCTTTTACATGAATATAATTTCATTTGATAACTCGCACCTAAAATCAGACTATGGAAGTGCGAGGCACAGCACGTACGTATAGGTTGCGCTGCCCTGAGCTTGAAGTAATTCATGCCTTCTGTCTGACAAGAGCCTTGTTCAGAGCGAACACATAGCAAAATAGAAAAACCTAAAATAAATCAACACACCTTTTTTATAGTTGGGTCCGTAACTCTAGATCCAAGGTTTGAAGTGAAAACGTTATTCGCTGCAAATTCAAACATTTTTGCAACATGTACTCCGGTCTTTCCCATAGGACGAATCCTACTAATCGCCGTCAGAGCGTGCTCTACGGTGACGCACGACTCAAAATCGAATTGGATATGAGGCGTATACGTGTAGCCCCAAACTGCCAACTGAAACAATAAAAATGACGTTTTAAATATAATTTGTGCTTCAAAATTTTGTTCTGATGGGTTAGTGTTCCCCAACATGGGTTTATAGGCCCCTAAGGGTACACAGAAAATGCAGGGTGACCAAACGAAGAACTCGGGTCATTTGGAACATATTCTATGAACCTCCATAAGTATGCGCACCAAGATGGCGCACAACCCGAACATAGTATGTGTGTACAGGTCAGGATTCAGGTTGTGCGACATTTTGGGGCGCATACTTCTGGAGCACCTAGAGCAGTAGTTATCAAACATTATAAGCCACGCCCCTTTTTAGAATTCATCAAGTCTCGCGCCCCAGCTCAAAAAAAACTAGCTAACAATAATCTACAAAAAAAAATAAATAGTAAGGAAAGTATGTTTTATTCAAAAAACATGTTGAAAATACGTAGATGGAAGGTAAATATCCAAAATAAGGCGGGCAAGAATAAATCTATCAAATATTTTCTAATATATTTATCTTCATTTTTAATGAGTTGCACGCCTTCAGCCCCTCCCCCTCCCCAAATTGACCACGCCTCACTTGTAGGGCGGGTCCCACCATTTGCGAACCACTGTTCTAGAACAGGGGTTCCCAAGCTTTTTTCAGAACGACCCCAAATACATCTTTCAAGTTCCCAGTGCGACCCCAGATTAATATATATATTTTTCGCGAAACTTTGGAGCTTGTTTCACTTGACTTTTGAGTTTGGTCATGTGGTGGTATTAAGTATAAAAAAAGCTAAAACCAAACAGTGATGTCACAATAAGCGCCTACATTTTCTATGGCATAAGCATAGAGCGATGGCTATGGGCTTGTATTACAGTAAGCCATGGTACAAACTGCTAAATTTAACATGATTTGTCAACACTTAGATGTTTTGTACATCCATCCTCTACCATACCTCAGCGACCCCACCGACCCCATGACCTGTTTGCGACCCTACCTATCACTCCGACCCAATTTGGGGTCGTGACCCCTGGTTTGGGAACCCCTGTTCTCGAGAGAGAACATAACTTTTGTGCATAGTGCATCAGATTGCTGCAACTTTCGAGGACAATCATACACAAATAGTAGTTCAAGTGTTAGATAAATTTTCTTTTTTTTCTAAAAGTAATTATGAAATTTATAGGTTCTGTTTCAAGGTCATTCTGTACATAACAGTATTGGCCAATTTATATGGAAAATGGCCCAAAATTCTTGAAGCGAATCATAAGACAAGATATTGAAAGGCAGCATTTGGATGCGCAGTTTCTGATTCACTACCTATAGTTAAACGTGACATTCAAGCATTAATAACTGACATAGGCAAACTACACCCGTGGGCCAATACGGCCAGTTGGGTAATTCAATATGGCCTGCCTGAAGCTGTCACAGCCAAATTTTGATGTTTTTGCTGAAAATAACCAACTGAATTCGTTGAAATTGCGATTCTATTTAGACTTTTGATTTCGTTTCGACACGAGGTTTGTTTTCAATATTTGCTTTTGTAAAACGGTAAATATTGTTCGTAAAATGTAAATTTTACGTCACACTTACATGGCCCTCCAGTCCAGATGAGCAAATTTTCTTGTCCCAGATCCAAAAACCTTGCCCCGTGATTAATAAGGTCTCCAGATCTTGTAATTTTTATTCCTAAGCGTGCTTTTATATGTCACGAGTGAATATCGACTATTCAGCCAAATACAAAATTTATGAATCTGAGATTCGAAAATTTTTTCGTAAAGTAAGTCTTCGGGAACTTGACTGTAACTTTGATTGAGATTTGCGAGTATTCTTAGTTTTTGAATAATTTAAAGGCCCAGACTCGAACTGTCGTTTATATATAGACCATTATAATAAAAAAGGCTTAGCCTGTATGAGATCGAAAGGCATTTTTGTTGGTATGTGACGACAACTAGCGGCAAATCGAACTGCGAAAACTTTAAAATTTCGCGGCGAAATTAATTTATATTTTAGCTTGTGTTATGCGCATCCTGATTTTTGTATGTTTTAATCATCTTATAATGCAAACATAAATAAGTATTAGTAACAAGAGAGCTACGCCCAAATATATGGACACGTCTGTTCGCAGTACAGTACGGTTCACCGTATCGTTAGATCACAGTCTACAAATATATTCACACCAAGCGAAGCAGTACAGTCAGATACGAAATGGCGTCCGCGAAGCAGTACAGTCGGACATAAAATGGCGCCCAATGTTCGCAGAACGTTCGGTGACGTCATAGCAAACAAAAACAAATTTCACAGAGGTAACAGAAATATTTGAAATGATTAACAGTAATATCCTCCTGGAGAAAATTTTTATCTGTAACCACTGAAAATTTCAGAGCAATTGTCCAGTAATAAAAAAGAGAAAAGCAACTTTTTAGATTTTCCACTGGGTGTCCAAAAGTGTCAAATAACAAGAACAACAACAACAACATAATGCTGAAACGATCGCTATGTCCTCTTACGTGTCCAATAATTGAGAACTAAATATTATTCATCAGTAATACAGAAAACACAAAGCAAATTATTTTTACAAGGATGACAACATTTTGTCCGGATAGTCATTGACTTACCCTAACGCCACGAGTTGGGTCTCTTGTTTGAATGTTGAATATCTTCACAACTTCGGACATATAGTCTTTCAATTTCTTCAAATTGTCCCCGTTCGCCATCGACTCTGAGGCATCGTATATAATCGCTACGTCCAACTTTTGTGATATTGTGCAGCCGTTCCAAGCTAAAATAGAAAGTATCGGTGGTGTTATGGGTGAGAGCATTAGAGGCGCGATAACCTACTGCACCGAAGTACAGGTAAGGGTTTCGCTCGCTGCTCGACAACCAGCATTGGTTCCTCATAGATTCCCTCGCCCAGAAATCCTCATTTAGTGGAAAAAATACATATTATTGGACACGTTTAGTGGACATAACGATCGTTTCAAAATTTTGTTGTTATTGTTATTTGTCTCCATCCTTTTTAAAAAATTACCTTTCTCTTCGAATACTGGACCAATTGCTTTGAAATTTTCAGTGGTTAAAGATAAAAAATTTTTCTCCAGAAGGCTATTACTTTTTTTTCGCTATGACGTCATCAAAATTATTGTCATTGGGCGGCGCTACGTGTCCATATATTTGAGCATAGCTCTCTTGTTCCAAAATGTAATCACGGAAATTCCTTAACAGGGTATCTATAACCAAATTTCGTCACTCAGGTAGATGACGTGGGAGCATAAAATTAAAATTGCTAGGATGGTTATGTCCGATATTTTATAATTTTTTAGTATTTCTTCCGAACTTTAATTTGACAGTCTTGGTATGAAACAAAAGTGCGCAAATATGTGTGATAACAGACTTCATCGAAAATTTTCGCTTTAGCCAAAGAAATCGTGTTAACCAAACCTACAATGAGTAAAATCAAAGACGGCAGGTTTGAAAATTAGTTGGGCAATCACAGTATAATACAAAATAGGGGAGTGTGGATTGGACGAAATAAGCCCGCCAATGCTCGTAAAATAATTATTTTGACCAAATACTTCAAGCCATTAATACCATTTTCATTGACTATGGTTAGTCAAAGTCAAGGCTGAGCTAAAGTCAAAGTACTTGTGAGCTGAAGTATACGCCGTATATCAAAGTAAGAGCATTGCTGTAGCCTACTCCATTTACAATCACGCTTTTTCCTAGTTTATCAATAATCAACCAGGAGCCCGATATTATAAATAACTCACCCGTCTCCGCCCGCATAATACAAGCAACGAACAATAATATTATGGTCTTGAAACGCATTTTACTTCTATAACAAGATTCGAACTCCACGCAGAATAAAGTTTAAATAATAGACTAATTTCAGTTGAGATGCACTGGAAATACCTAGCTGAGAATGATAAAAATATTGGACATTATAGTTTTTGAAGTCTGCAAAATTCTGAGAATATAATTTTATATTCAGAAAATATGAAACATAATTACGCAGGAGTTTTTGAAAGCATCTTCGGGATATACAAATATTTCTTCCTTGAATATGGAAGTCCAGCTTTATGCATTAAAAACATTACTGCATTAAGATAATTTGAAGTCAATTTATTAGTCAAACGCTTTATCAGAGTTCTTTCGCAGTTTGAGTTGTGCTTCTTCGCATACTGCTTGTCGATAAATAGATTCGTTGCTAGTTCTGGTTTAAGATAGATATAAAACCTTAGGCATTGAATGTTAGAATATGCATGGTATTCATGGCAAACCAAGTCGTTTGCCAGCGTACTGACGAACAACCTAACTAGTCAAAAACTGTATATTTTGTCCAATGTCTGGTCGCACTTTTATTAATTGGCACCCTTGTGTCGTATTTTGGTGTACACCTAACGCATACTACCTTGCATGACCTTTACGTTTTTCTTTTCAAGATCACTTATATTTACTTCCATAACCACTATCTTGCGATTTTAACCTTCAATCATAACACTACCAATAACATCTCTCCAGCTTGTTCTCTCAAAATCTACGCGTGTCTTTGGACAAATTCCAGAAACCATTTTGGTCGCTTATTCGGCACATGGTACAAGTTGAACGATGAGATTTGTTGTTATTGAAATTCGGTAATCATTTAAAAGCGCGGAGGTAATTATTAGTCTGAGAAAAACAAATGTGTTTCCCATTACTGAAAACAGAAAGTATATCAATACTAGGGCTGGAACTGGTTAACCGGTTAACCGATTTCAGAGGGTTTCGGTTACGATTTATTTTAACCGTTAACTGACATCTCAGGTACAAATCATCTTTATACCGTACAATTTCTTCAAATATGATTACGTCATCGCAAATTCATCTCTTGTGGCGTTTAATTCAAAAGAATATTACCAACTGTGTGAGTAAGGACACAGTAAATGTGAAAAATAATGGACGTACAAGATTACTGATTATGGAAATTTGACAATGATGAATTCAGAATCAGTTTTCGGTCGATTTCGAAATATTTTCTACACGATTTCATTGCAAAATCGTATATTTAATGTCATACAACGAGTGCGCTGTTGATGCCCTTTTTCTATATCATATCTCGAAGCAGAATTTGCACATCGAACACTGAAAATTTGACACATAAATGACGTTTAACAACGGAATCGGGTTTTCTAAAATACTTCCACATGCTCAAACCACGCTGCCCAGTGGCGTAGAATCCACCCCCGCGGTCGCGGGAGGGCCCACAGCGCAAAGGGGCTCAAGCGGTTGGAGTTTGGAAATTTAAGCCGCAAACCAAAAGCTACATTGCAAACCAAGTAATGCACATCTTATAACGTTGATGTTAGTTCTGCTCAAATCGTTTTGTTACGTAACAATGCCAGGGAGTCGTCGATTTTCGGCGTCTTGTGGTTAGTTCGCGAAGGCTGTCAGAATGATGTCGAGAGCAAAACCTCTCAGTGGCGCACAGAAATGCAGAAAAAGGGCAGAAGAGGAAGAACGTATGAAAAACATTTAAGTAACCAAGATAAACAGAAAATTTTAGACGAAATAAAAAAGCGTTGTTTTAGCTTATGTCCACGACACGTTGTTTTAGCTTATGGCACGAGAGTCTTGCTACGCCACTGACGCTGCCTATTCTTGCAGCAGAGCAATCATGTAACTATCTCGATTCGTGAATAATTATGAGCGATACCGAGATAAGAACACGCGAAATTGCTTTATAGTATTCAACTATATATGTGTAAAAAGTTTGTAGTGTAACTTATGGCCAAATCATTGCGCAACATTTAAACATTCATTTGATGACATATTTTTGATTTGTTCTCTCTATGTGTATACCGGTACTGTTTTAACAATGTTGGCCACGTCAATGTATCAATTAGGCTACAGACCTGCTCACGTGTGATTAGAGTTTTTCCTAATAATTGCTTATCGCCTTTTCCGCAATGAGTATATAACTATCGTCGCAAATTTATTACATTCCACTCCCCACATTATCTTTGCATGAAGTTGCAGATATTCGTTATTATCAACGCAATTGTTAAAAGTACAACAGCCCGAAAGTTTAATACTATCGTGTATTTTGTTTGTTAAGTTTGGCCCAAGCCTCAGTTAATTGGGCTTGTGTGTGTGTGCGTGCTGGTGGGCAGGCACATGAGATACTTCTCATGCTTTAAACATTTTTATAGTTTTGCTTGCCTTCCAGAATTCACCATTTTTAATTTATGTTTGTCATGGAGTTTCCGAAATACTATCTATCTATCCTATAAGCATTGTGACGTAGTAACAAGCTGAATTATAAATTAATACGTCAAACGTCACGCGGTGGTTAACCGGGTAATTTTACCCGGTTAACGGCTGAAGTGTTTTCCCTGAAATTCCCAGCCCTAATCAACACAGATGAACCTGTCCATATAGAAAGGTCGAGCTGAAGAGTTCTAACAGGCGGCCGCGGGCCAAAATTCAGCCCGCCAAGCCATTTAGAGTGGCCCTTGTCAACACTTAGATTTTTTTCCATCAAGCATAAACAATCCGATAGTTTATGTTTTGAAAAGGCTCTCGCATGGATAAAAACGCATAATGCTTTTTTAATATTGTCGCTGCGTTAAATCTTCCGCTAACCGCGAACGCCTAATTGCGATATATAAAGTAAAAGAAGGATACAATTACTCGTTCCAGTTTATACTAATTTGTGTTCTGGCTATGCGAGACTCGTTAACAATTTTAGAGTTCTTAAATACTCAGTGAATCAGAATTTTGAGCTTTTGCTGAAATTTAAAATCGCTTGAATTTTTCCAATATACAAATCTAGGCCGATTTGCCAACCAGACCATTGCAATTTGTGGCAAGGCGATATTTTATAATTTGCGCCTTATTCTGAAAGATAAAAGTTGGCCCGTTTGTCGCAACTGCAAATAGCCGAGGTTTGCTTTTCAAAGGAATTATCGCAATGTCATTTACGCAAACGGCACAAATTGCTTATTGATAAATTATTAATCCTGTATCATTTAATGCAAATTTAGTTCCATTAATTTATTTAAGACGAATGAGATTAAATAATCCGCTTATATCAGTATAACAAAGCTCGGAGCGGAGCTAATTCGAGTCTGCACGCTAGGCGGCGGAAATGAGCAGTCAGTTGCAAATGACGTCACCATTTATTCATTTGCAACCTTCGGCGCGCTGAGTTCGTTGTTCAGCGAGTCCCGCGGTTACCGGTGACTAACCTTTATAGTTATTTAGCTAATCTCGCGTATTCTGCTGATATGTATCGTAGCATAGTCCAATTACTCCCAATATCTAGACATTCGGTAACCAAGTTAGTTGATGTAGCTCTGGATTCTGTCACTGCTAAACATACTATTACCGTACTATTCCTGATTCTGTAATCAGTTTTATTTAGACTATTTACATTTAGGATAGGATAGGATTCACATACCGGTATTTATCCCGGGGAGAGGAAAGATGATATTAAAGCTTAAACATATGGCGAACCACGGTCTCTTGCCCGGTCAGGTCACCAGTTTATGCCGAGTACGGTACCGGTATGGGGTTCTGCCATTTATTTTTATCAATTATTTTATTGTTTTTCACGCTGATTATGGAGTGAAAATAAACTTATAGACTACGACTCTACGAGTGATCTAGGGAAGTAAACGCTAAAGCCCATCTCAGTTTTGGTTTGGCTGTGTGTAATGTTTCAGCTTTAATCTGTAAATTGTTCAAAATTGAAATCTAGTCTGTCAGGAAAGTAATTTTGCGACAGGCAAATTTGAAAAAATTAAAATTTGATCTGTATATTCACACAACACCACATTCTGACATTATTTCATGGCTTTATTAAAGCATTTACTTCGCTATATTCAGATATCCCGTACCACAGTACCATCATACGAAAGCCAGAACAGAAAAAACATTGACTAGACTCCTGTAAACAGATATATGGGTTGCTGTGTATACATACGTTAATCGTGGTTCCAGGGTTCTGTTTATCTCACAGTCTTAGATTTAGATAAGTCTGTAAGAAGATACGTTGAAGGGCGAGACACTCCCCCAACATGAATCAAGGCACTTCCAGTTTTTGATAAATGGTCCCTAGAGTCCAACAATCAAAAACTTGATCCTTCCCCAATATTGAATTATACTAATTAATTTTCACAGAACCAATATTCTATCTAGCCTTATAAATCTACAAAATGGTGAAACTTGTCGCAGTTTGTAGAGATGACGAGGATTATCCTTTCGAAAATCGACAACTTCCTCTCAATGTTGACAAAAATTTAACGGTGAGGAACTCTTTTTTACATTTTCAATAAATTTCGGTATAATTTCACTTTATCAGCACGCTAAATAGCTTCATTTAAGATTTTTGCATATTTATATCTGGGAGAGACTGGGGGACCGGTTTAATTATATGTCAAAATGAATAAAGTATTCAGTATGGTACTGTATTTCTTTATTTTAGGAGTAATTTAGGAAATACTCATTGGAAACCTTATAACTTATTTTCTGATAAGCATAGAGAACTAAATAAAACATTTGTTAATTTTATCTGTATGAATTTTACTCTCGTTAAACAATTGTTTACATCCACCGTAATTTATTACACCTTTAGAATTTAGGCAGAATAGTTGATTATTCAGTTTTGGTCATCTTGTCTTTGGTCATTGCTTTTTATCCAGTATTTAGTCCCCTAATAATGTATTTTTAGAAAACCCTTGTGGGGTTTGAGTTGATAATGAAAATACATTATTAACTGAACACTGAAAACATAGTGGGCAAGTGGATGGAATATTCAGTAGATAAAAAGTTAAACAGCCTGCCGATTGATGCATCTTGCTATGCACACGCTGGTCATCGCACCTCTGATTATCTCGCATTGTTTCGCAGATTTAAATCCTGTCTGGGATAATTATGTGAGAGTGAATTGCAGTAGTCTTTTTTGTTATAGAGTAGTTCACATAGGATAGGATTTACATATTTATCCCGGGGGAGAGGAAAGCCGATAAGACGGCTTATCCATATGGCGAACCACGGCCTCTAGTCCGGTCACCATTCCAAGTCGGGTATGGGATTAGTTATATTGTTTGTTTACGGAAGCACGGACTTGGTGGTGGAGGAAGCCGTAACCGACCAGCGGTTACGTGAACCATCCTACGGTGGCGAGGAGTCCAGCAATCCTCTCGCACATAACCATCCCTGCATGGGATTCGAACCTGCGAACCCACGCAGAGTAATCAGAGGTGCGGTGGCGAGTGTATTTTCAACGGTTAGCCCGTTGAGCCACACCGCCGCGCCCATAATTGCAGACCGGTTTTGATTTCCCCCACCATGAAGTTCTTGCGTGATACATCATGCTGTTCAAGTTATCTTATCAACTTACCTCTGGGATGAACATGAAAAAAACCTAACTTAATCATCTTAAACCTATTTTATTTATTCGTATTATTATTTCAGCTTGTGCTACAATTCGATGACCCCCTTCAACCTGGATATAAAAGCAACAATGCTAAATCAGATCTCAGGACTTTTATTGAGGTTTGTAAGGGTTTTCATAAAATTTTTGCATCAAAAGGTATATTCCATATAGCAAATTCCGTTACATATACCGTTAACTTGAACCTATTTCAATAGAATTTAATAATCACTAACAGCCACATTACTTGCATTACTTACTCAGAAGTAAACAAGTCTAATCTCTGAAACAATGTCACAGACCATCATTTGAATGCCAGTATCTCCAAAACTATATGGGATTATGGACATTCATTGCATGCCATTGAATAGCAATTTATATAAGACTTGGAGCAGTTTAAGTTGAAATGATTGAGAAAACAGCAGTGAAGTAAATTCCTTATAACTGAAAAACTTTTGACATTTTTTTCTAGAATTACAACATTCTCAATGTGGAAGAAGTTAAACAAGCCTGCATGATGAATGGGAGAGATTTAACAACATTTCTGTCTCACATGGTACCGTGTGTCGGCTGCAGAAGAAGGTGAGTGTAATTTTTTTTGAATAGCCTACTTAAATGGGTTCTTCCGAAGTATGTGAACCAAAATGGCGGACACCGGAACGTAGTATGTGTACCCGGTTAAGGTTAGGCCATAATTTTATTCCAATATTTCTTATTTTGGTTGTATTGCAAGTTCGGGGACTAGCTAAGTAACTCCCGTAGTATTTGTACCTGAAATTATGGCTGAACCCTAACCCGGTACACATACTACGTTCCGGTGTCCGCCATCTTGGTTCACATACTTCGGGAGTACCTTTATTTGGGGTACAGGGGTTGAAGAAAGTAAACTCGAATGTTGTCACTTGTCAGGGCTTAAGCCTGGAGATATAAATCATTTAAACTTAGCCTACTACTACCTCCACAACCATAAATTTATTTTTTATGAGGTTATCTCACTCCAAACAGAGCTTTGTGCACGACAGTATGGAAATGAAACATTCACTATATCTATGGCTGCCATCGATATGAACCCAAAAATAAGGACATCAGGGAAACATAATGATAGAATAACAAAGAACGAAATGTTCTAAACAAAATGTGTTCATGCCAGTGCCCATTCGTGTCTAATCATACTTTGCACTAGAAAGGATTTCCTCCAGCAGTTCTTTATTCTTAAAAACAATCTGTTCCATCTCATTTTTAAGGTATATTTTGATTCAAGTTACACAAATTGATTTCGACTGGTAGGCGATTGTTTTGTCATTGTGTCAATTGATTTGCTGTTTTTATGTAATGAGAGCGCGTAGCAAACAATGAGGTTGTAAAATAGCATTTCTAGCAAATCAATCATTCAAATTGACCAATCTAAGTGTCTGGTATTAGTACCTCTACCTATTAAATAAGGACACATGTCGAAATAAGGACGTTTCTTAGAAATAAGGACACAATTATTTTCTAAGACAGAAAGAAGGACGTTATGGCAGTCCTGACTGATGAAATCTTTTCAAATTTGAATGTAATCGAATTTTTGATTCATTTTTGGCGCTGCCTTTTTTATCGGTAAATCGGCTCAAAGCAAGGTCTGCACACAAACTCATCTGTCATCAGCGATTTAGGTGATCACTGAGCGAAATTATGGACATGTTCCTAGAGTACAAAAATCACCCCTGATGAAATAGATTGAAACTTTGTACGAAACTTTACAAGAGCAATTATATGAATTGGGATTCGATTCCCAAAATATTTAAAAAAAAAAAATCCTAAAGTTCTCGATTTCATAATTATAATTTTTTTTCGTACTTTTCTGGGCCACGTTCCTGATTATTATTTTCAACTTTTCCATACTTTTCAGCGTTGAACAAATGTTTCATCAACTTGCGGACCAAGGTCATCCAGCACTCGACCCATTGATTGTGACATCACGAGGAGGAATGTCAATCAAACGTCACGTTTCGTCGAACCCAACAGCTTTATATAAGTTGTTTTATCACGATGTGTAAGTAAAATACAATTGAAAATTTATTTCGTTGCAATAAACTGTTGGCACATTGTGATAGCCATACCAGTCTCTGTTCTGATCACCTTGCTAATGTTGGCAGGTTCGAATACTCTGGTGATAAATAGGTACTCCCGTAGTATGTGTACCAGGTTAGGGTTAGGCCATAATTTTACTCCGGTTTTCCTTTTTTTAGTTCTACTGCAGGCTTGAGGACTGTCTGTGTTATCCAAGTGAATATACCACCTGCCCATAGGTTTCAGTCCCTTTACACAACTTGTTGTAAAGTAGGCGAACAAAATTAGTTACCTCCATATTGGTACACATATTTCTAGAGCGCTCAAATATCCATATTTAAGAATATCTTGCATTGAATTGTTGAAAAAATTATCATGCTATCCATAAATTTTAAAGGCAAAACTGGACTTTGGTTAGCATTTGAGAGAATTCCAAATCACTCAACCATGGCTGTTACGTTTGATTGATCTCTTCTTTTCAATTAGTTGATGAACTGCTTATTAATATAATTATTTTGATTGTATTGAACAATCCCCTTTGGCCATTTGTTAATTCATAATAAGGCAAAACCATTGATTGGAGAGCAATGATAGGAGAATGAATTAATTAGGGAGGCAATGGTTAACGGTTAAACGGTTCCAGATGGTTAACGGTTAATTTTGACTGTTAACGACTATCTACCATAGTACTCCTTTTTTAATGTACATTCACTTAATAAAATGTATATCTTTAGCACAAAATCCAGCAAGGATTATGGCAATTAAAAAAGAATCCTGCTGTCTATATTTCAGTTTAATATTTAGTACCAAAAGCCATTTAAATTGCCTCTTCAGCTCACAGAGTTCCTAACCTGCTGGCAGCCCACTGTCTCTCATATGTCAGTGACTCTTGACTGGTGAGAGGCATCCCACAACAAGGGCATAGACAATTTTTTTGGGAAGCTAAAAATGAAGAATATTCAGTAGATTTTATCTTGCCCGCTTTATTTTGGATATTTACGTTCCATTCCAAGTCCACCGCGCGGCGGTGTGGCTCAACGGGTTAAGCGTGAGGAATACGCTCGCCACCGCACCTCTAATTACTCTGCGTGGGTTCGCAGGTTCGATTCCCATGCAGGGATGGTTATGTGCGAGAGGATTGCTGGATTCCTCGCCGTCGTTGGGTGGTTCACGTAACCACTGTTCCGTTACGGCTTCCTCCACCACCAAGTTCATGCTTCCGAAAACAAACAATATAACTAATCCCATACCCGACTTGGAATGGTAACCGGACAAAAGGCCGTGGTTCGCCATATGGATAAGCCGTCTTATCGGCTTTCCTCTCCCCCGGGATAAATATGTAAATCCTATCCTATCCACACATTTTCAACGAGTTTTTAGAATAAAACATACCTTCTGCCTTACTATCTGTTATTTGTAGCTTTTTGTTAGCTATTTATTTTTGAGGTGGGGCGCAAGACAAATCATAAAAATGGGGCGCGGCTTCGAAAGTTTAAGAACCACCATCATATGTGGTTGTAAATTATTCCCAAAATCAATTTGAATTTGAAGATTATTGAATTTAAAGTAAGTTAAATTGACTTGAGTATTAGATTCATAGCTGCTGCCATGCCTGTTTTGTTTTTAGTAACAATATTTAACCTTTAACCCTTTTTTTCAGGGTACATATGCATGGATTAATCAAGAATATTTTAAAAAGCAAGAAAAACAAACGATGCTTCATTCATTCATTGGAAATGCAAAAACCAAGGCTAGGAAGGTATGTAAATAGCAATTCTTATTATCTTGGGGCAGGTGGAGGAAAGTAGATAGGCCTAATGGGTAGCACACTGTCACAAACATGTTAACAGTTACTATTCAAGTCCTCACCCATGGTAATTTATTCCCAAAGATGCTTTGACAGCTTTGTATGAGCCATGTAGGGCTCCCAGTCACTTACACTAGCCCTAGATATTTTGTAGTAATGGAATCTAACTGCTTCAGCATATTGCCTTCTTAGTTTATTCAACTATGCATTATTAAATCCGTGATCCCCAAAGTTGATCGACCGGGGAGGGGGGGGCAAAATAATCGAAAGAAATTACTACCCGTCTAGATCTGATACATGGCCTATAAACATATATGGGCGTTTGGATTTTTGCTAGCTACATTAGTAATTACCTTCTCTAATCAATTTTTTCCAACTTTTCAGAGCCCTTGCAATGTCACCAAACAACGGCCAAGCTTGTTCAAATCTAAGTTCTTTGCCTCCTGCGACCTCTAACATCGCCCCTCCTATCACCCCTTACTATGGGAATGGATCCTGGATGGATATCTGGAACGATTTATCCAACGAATGCAAGGAAGAAGTTGTCATCTTAGATTGCGAAGGAATTCTGGATTTGATGGAAGAATACTTGAAACGTCACAGGTAAAACAATTTGTGTTCTGATCAGGCGAGCAGCCAGGATTTTCAAAATCGGAAATTCCCATTGCCGTCTCTAAAAGTTGCACGATTACGCGCTCTTCAAAAGAGCTGTCTTTTCAGTGTATAAGGATTTTTCTGTGGCATAAAATATTCAATCTATAATAACTACCAGATTCTGAAATGTCCTTATATATTAATTTAGTTGTGTCCAACGTAACTCACAGTTGCGTTTTCTTATATCGAAATAAAAACATTACTTCCCGAAAATACCACGGCGACCGCTGGACATAAAAATATGTAATGAACTGCCTAATGTATTTTATTTTGTTACATATTTTAGCAATCTTGCGACAAACTCGTTATCGCTAGTTCTGATTATCATTATTAACATTAACATATTAGTGGATAGTGGCAGCTCGCAACTCACAGCATTAATGCCTTTGTTTATCGAAGAGCCTTTAAAATATGAAACATACCTAGTGGGGCTTCCTTTACCCTTGTGCCAATACTCAGACATTTGTTTTCATATCTGAATATTATCCTTGGACGGGTTCAATCAAGTAACTGTGATCCTCTTCGTGTGATCAATTTATGAGAGCACTGACATTGATTGTATGATTTAATCAACAATTCTGACATTTCAAGAATTGATCGTCGGCAAAATATTTCTCGCTCCTAATAACCATATTTTTTTACAGATTTTGTAAAGACTGTAAAAGCAAGGTAGCACGAGCTTTTGGGATTCTAGTCGACGAAATCGATCCCAAGAAAGAGACTGGGTACTGTAGCGCTCTGTACGTTGGACTTCGATTTTGTGGCCCCAAGTCTAAGCTTGCGCTAGAACGAGAGGCAGAGGAAAGGGCTTCTTGTGATTCTGCAGAATGTGAAGGCTGTGATCACTCAAGCGATGAATGTGATCATGAAGCGGAACTGCCGTCTGGAAATACAGAATCAGAAGATGATAAGAATACTGTGGATAAATCTACTGAAACAAGGTACTACCATATAGAACCATTTATGTTGGGGTATTTTATTTGACTTTTTACTTATGGATTTTAATCGGTGAGTATGTTGATAGGTATTTGTCTGTCTGTTTGTCTGTTAGATGCACGCGATATCTCACGAAAGCGAGATTGAATCTGCTCCAGATTTGGCATGTGCATTCATCTTATCTCGGACCAGAAGTCTATTGATTTTGGGCGAATTATGTTGTATAGTTAGCGAGTTATTAATTAATTAGTGATGGGACACAAGGTGTCACTATGGAGTAAGAGCGCTGTTTTGGGGGATCCCCTACCTAACTTTCGATCGATAAGTCTTCGGTCTCTGACCGATATTCTCGTTTCTTAATTTTCGCAGGTCTATTGAGCAAACTGAATAATTTACAATTTCGTAAACATTCATAAATATTTTTGAATATGAAATATTGGATTTATTTGTATTGGGCATAACTGGAAAAAAAAAGGATTCAGTCTTTGTATACGGTATATCCTCGTAATAAACTGAGTTTAAAACTCAAAAAAAGAGTTGACAAACTAAGGGGTCAGCTTATACCAGGAGTCGGCAACCTTTTGTCGCTCGCGGGCCAAAATTAAAGGTTGCAAGTCATTTGCGGGCCGCACATATTTTTAGAATGTTAAAAATCGAATGGATGACCAATGAATCACATTTTATCACACGGATCCGAGTTTAAATTTTAAGCAGCGCGCGAAGACTGACCATTTGGAAATTTTTTGCGCCATTAAACCATTTGCACTTAGCATCAACTTTTCTGCGTTTTGTTGCCATTTGTCTAAATTATAATTAAATTATAGGCTCATTAAAGGAGTAAATGTGAATTATATACTTGTTACGTTATAATATAATTTAGTCTACACGTAAATTTTTTTGTGTGAACAATATAATCGACAAAACAGCTATAATTTGTTACTATAATCCAGTGACACGTCGCGGGCCGGATTATATTGCTCCGTAGGTTGCCGACCCCTGGCTTACACCTACATACATAGCTTATATAACTCTGATCGTACTAAAAATTTGGCTTATATGCACAACTTATATCGCACTAATTCTCTTTTGGAATCATTTGCTGTGACAGGTACGGCGTGTTACGATTTGTAGGGTCGGTTATATGCGAGGCTATATAGTAAGTAGTATGCTAAATTTGACGTTCATCTTAAGATTTTGCTTTTATTTAATAGATTCCAGCAAAAAAAAATTTTGCTCATATAAATTTTATTTTCTCTTTCGTTTATAAAATGAGTAAATTTTGATTAATATATTTTTTCACAGCGATGAGCCACTGGTACAAGGCAACCAATCTCGTCATATCCATGTCTGCTGTGAGACTAATTATATCGCCCATCTGATGACGAGGGCTGAAGCTGAGATTTCTGGAGGGTGAGACTGTTTTGCTTTATTATTGCTTATTTATTATTAAAAAATTATTTCAAAACAGTTATTTGTAGAAATTTATCTATTTGAATAATTGGAATCACACAGTAGTGAAAACTGTGAATAATAGAAAAATAAGATCTTAAAAAATACTCTTTTAACAAGAATGCATTTCGAAAGTCTAGCACAAGGGTTCCCAAACCAGGGGTCGCGACCCCAAGTTGGGTCGGAGTTATAAGTGGGTAGGGTCGTAAACAGGTCATGGGGTCACTGAGGTATGGTAGAGGATGGATGTACAAAACATCTAAGATTTGACAAACCATGTTAAATTTAGCAGTTTGTACCATGGCTTACTGTAAAACAGGCCCATAGGCATCGCTCTATGCTTATGCTATAGAAAATGTAGGTGCTTATTGTGACATCACTGTTTGGTTTTAGCTTATTTTACTTAATACCATCACATGATCGAACTCAAAATTGACCTGGGGTCACACTGGACACTTGAAAGTTGTCTTTGGGGTCGTCCTGAAAAAAACTTGGGAATCCTTGGTCTAGCACCTTAAATAAACATTTCATTGCGTTCTTCCGAACATGACTCAATTTATAATATTATCATTATTTCATACTAGCAAATATTGATTCAGAATGTGTTCAAATAATACAGGGTTTTTAAATTGCAAAATACAGAGAGAATTTATTGATGCCCTATTTAGTATCAAATAAAGTTAAAAAAAACTTGAATAAACACTGGGTATAATATATATTGTCTTACATAATAAAGTCCTTAAATTTTCAAAATATCAAAAGGAATTTATCGATACCATATATTGTTTTGGCCCTCACAGATGTATTAAATAAAGTAAAAATACTTCAATAATTACTGATTAGAAAACCACAAATCTGGTTAAAATATATTGAGAAATGACTTCGTAACAAAATTGAAATAATGGACACTCGATTTGCTGATTGCACCACTTCTCAAGCTATTACATGCAAAATACTAATTCAGCATAAATAATAAACAACGACATATGATAAACAGGAAACACATTCATTTAAGCAAGCTCATTAACAAGAGACTGCTTGTTTTTATCGTGATTTTTTTAAACGAGGACATATTTATAAAGGTATTGGTAAGGTTGTCTGATTGTTAATAAAATCCCTTTAAAATTAATTTTATGCAATGCTTCATTTGTATTATTATTTGGTAGAAAAAAACACCAGGGATTTGAAAACAAATTGAAAATTAGAATTGATTCCAAATTAATTATATTTGATTTGATAACACCCAATTTATTAATTCTTGGGTAAAATGATGGACTTAGAGCCTTAATATAATCAAAGAGCTGTGAGGCCAACATGGTTAAAGCCTGTTCACAAGGCAATGGCACCTTTTCTTGCTTCACAAATTCACTCGCCTGGTGCAGGGCTGGCTACTCAACTGGCGGACTGCGGTCAGAATTCGGACCTTTCGAGTATTGGATTCGGACCGCACCTAATTCTTTATTTTGGATCATTAGCCCCTCTTTTGAAGTTTTCTTTTATAAATTGCCTTTTATTGTTTGAAACGAACTATACAACCATAATAAGCAATATTGATTATCTAATAATCATAAGTCAGTTGAGGAAGTGCCCGTTTACGGATGCCGAAATATAATTTCTGGAAAGACCGGACCCAAATTATTTTGAAGTTGTGTACGCAGTAAATCTGCGATAAATATAGTTGAGTAGCCCTGTCTTAGAGATTTCCAGCTTGCTTCATTGAATTCTTCCTTTGCCTAGTCCTATTGTGAAGCTTTTCATCCTCCTCATAATGCAAAAAAAAAAACAATATTCATTCAATCATTCAATCATTCGGAGCGCACATATTTTTAAAAAGTTGAAAACTGAACGGATGATACTTTTTATAATAAAAATCAAGCCGTGATACATCTCTCGAATAGAATATAGATTTATTTCCTCATTGCATCTCAAAAATTCCATCTGAATATTTTTGGCGCTATTGAACCCTTTGCACTTAGCATCAACTTTTCTGCGTTTTGCCTAAATATAATTAAATTATAGGCTTGTTTAACGAGTAATTGTAAATTTCATCTTTGTTAGATTATAATATAATTTAGTCTACAAAAAATTCCGTTACGTAAAGAATATAATCGTCAAAACAGCTGTTCTGTTAGTATAATTCAGTGAAGCGTCGAGGGCCAGATTATATGACTTTGCAGGCCGGATTCGGTCCGCAGGCCGTAGGTTGCCGACCCCTGCTCTAAAGGATTCGTAGCCAATGTTATGCACAAGCTTTGTACAGTTTGCTAAGTACTAAGTGTATAAACGAGAATATCGTTCCGAGACCGAAGATTTATCGATTGAAAGTTAGGGGATCCCCCAGAACAGCGCTCTTACTTCATAGTGACACCTTGTGTCCCATCACTAATTAATTAATAATTTGCTAATTCTACGACATAATTCATCTAAAATCAATAGGCTGCAATACATGCAAAATCTGGAGCAAATTCAATCTCGCTTTCGTGAGATATCGCGTGCATCTAACAGACAGACAAATACCTATCAACATACTTACCGATTAAAATCGTTAAGTAATAACCATTATAGTTGCAAGGAGAAATCCGGTGCTCTCAGTGAAGCTGTGAACATGCTTTTTAAAAATTATAATTCATTTCAGACGTCGTGAGCGACATGCAAAAACGATCGACGTAGCCCAAGAAGAAGTTCTGACTTGTATTAGTTTGTATTTGTACGAGAGGTTACATCGATTGTGGCAGAAAGTACGAGCTGAATGCCAGACATGGAGAGTCTTGTTCTATGTCAGTGTTGAAACTATGAGACAAGTTTTTGAGGTGAAGTCTTGTTAAAATACTTTTTTTTACACAGTGTTTCGAAATGAACAAATTAAGCCATTTTAGTGTTCTTACTCATAGATAAAAGGGATCAATCTCTGTTCAATGTAATAGATCACAAAAAACGGCGATTCCGTAGTATGCCAAGTGACTCTCGTAGTATGTGTACCTGAAACTATAGCCTGACCCTAACTTGATACACATACTACGTTCCTCTGTTCGCTATCTTGTTGCACATACTACGCGAGTACCCAAAACAAAATACTTGGTTCATTTAGATTCTAAACTGGGTGACTGGGTTGTTTGAGGGTATTAATTTTTTAAAGAGGATTCACTCACATCAAGGTCACACGCTCTCACTCAGAGTTAAAGCAGACTCCTCTTCAAGCAGATTTTATTAACAACAATTTTGGCATATTCAAGGCTTCTCTGATTGTCTGTGAAAATGCATCAACGCTTTTCGAATTTCTGTCATAAATTTGAGTTAACTTTGAAATATTAAAATTATTTTTCTACAGAAAATTCAACAAAATTTTGACTTCAGGTCTGAACTGTAGAGTTTTGAAACACGAATCCTACCCCAATATTAATAAAAAAAAATGCAGAAAAAGTATGAAACCACAGCCTAACATCTCAACAACAATTCATCAGCTCTTAATATATTTTTCACCCTTTTCTGATTCCAGATTGTAATATTCTTGAAGTTTTAAAATAAAACATGTTAAACTTTGACCCCAAAGCTTAGCATCTGAACTCCAAGTTTATGTTTTATTTTTTTACCGAACTTTCATTTTTTTTGTTATAATTCCAGATAGTGATAGAAGAAAAAGTAGGAATGGATAAACTGGAAGCACTTTGTGAAGAATTGGAAGAACAGGACAGGAAACAAGAAATCAAGCAAGAAAAGAAACGACAGAAAAAGAAAAGACAGAAGAAAAGGAAAGAAGAAGCAAAGAAACAAGAAGAAGCAGAGGTTTGTTCCATTTCTAGGGCTGGGAATGGTTAACCGATTAACCGATTTTAGATGGTTAACGGTTACGATTTATTTTAACCGGTAACTGACATCTCATGTACAAATCATCTTTATATTGTACAATTCTTTAAAAAATGATTATTTCATCGCAAATTTATCTCCCGTGGCGTTTAATTCAAAAGAATATCGCTAACTGTATTGGAGAGGACCTAATAATAAATGTGAAAAATAACTGAAGTACCAAGTGTGCGGATTATGAAAATTTGACAATGAGGTTAACGGTTAATATGGTTTTCCCTGAAATTCCCAGCCCTAGTCATTCCATCACTATTTTCCTGATTATATTGCACAGTCTAGAGTCGATGGGTCTTTACTAATGTGTGATTCAACGCTGCATGTCGTTATGTAGTCTCAGTAGTGCTTGGCACTTATCTGCCACTGCCCACCATGGATTATATAATTTTAGTAGGTGCTTTGAAGGGGTACACGCCAAAACAAAATATTTCACTATTTTGAATACATTTGGAGAAAATATATCTGAATATAAAATTTTAAATACGTTCTCAATTGAGCATAAGAAAAAGTATGTAAATTTTCATGTAGATCACATCTAAAACAAAATGAATATGAAATTGTTTTCTCTGTGTTGTTTCTTACCAGTTGAAATATCTCACAGTTTGATCTGCTGATGACTTAAAATTCTTAAGTTTTGAATAACAGTATTCTAAGTCATTTCTAAATTCAAAAATTCACCATATTGTATATAATGACTGTATTCGAATTCGATTTGTTTTGGACATCCTTAGGTCATTCAATAATCCATTTTAAGCGTTTTAGCAGGATTATTGATGTATTTTGACGGATTTTCACTGTTTTCAAGCGTTTTAGCAGGGTTCTTGGTGTTTTTTGACGGTTTTTCACTGTTTTTAAGCGTTTTAGCAGGGTTAAAAATAATTTTTCAAAATACCTTCAGTATACTAAATAATTCAGTTTTGCCAAGCTTCAGTCTAAAAAGAAACTATTCGTTCCGGTAGTCTAAAATATTTATTTATGAATTTCACAGACAATTCCACCAAACACTGATGCAAGCAACAAGGTTCCTTCATGCAACAACCGGGATTCCCCCTCCCTACCTGCGACCAGTGTAATGTGCACTAACAACCGCATTTGTCGAAAAGGTGGGAGAGATGACGGCAACAGAAGTCCTGGTGAGTCCATGTAGTATTTTTATAAAACGCTTAATCAGGCCTTTTATTTAAATAACAACATGGAAGGGTACTCCTGAAGTATGCGTATCAAGATGTCGCACAACCTGAACCCTAACCTTGTACACAATCTGAGTTCAGGTTGTGCGTCATCTTGGTGCGCATACTTCAGGAGGTCCCATGGGAGTGTCTCATTTCAATAAAATCTGTTAATGAAAATTGTCAACCAACGATGAAAGGGGTTCATTTTCAAAATTTGCCACATACATTATTTTACGTAGATATACCACTGCATTGCAGAGTATCTTTCTTTTGAAACTTTGACATATGGCATGTAGTATGTTGGCTTCCTCAACTAGCTAAGTTCATTCGCCGGACTAGCTAAGTTTATAACCCCCCCACCCCTTTTGAAATGTAAAAACAGCTATTTTTTATTATGCATAGCCCTTTTTACTTATCGATCTTAAGATCTGTAAGTATGTTGATAGGTATTTGTCTGTCTGTATGTCTCTTTATCTGTTTGTTTGTCTGTTAGATGAACGCGATATCTCAAGAAGGCGAGGTTGAATCTGCTCCAAATTTTGCATGTGCATTCATCATATCTCGGACCAGAAGCCTACTGATTTTGGATGAATTATGTCATTTAATTAGCGAGTTATTAATTAATTAGTGATGAGACACAAGGTGTCACTATGGAGTAAGAGCGCTGTTTTGGGGGATCCCCTGGCTTTCGATCAATAAGTCTTCGGTCTCCGACCGATGTTCTCGATTAACCCTCGATACCATTGAAAACCCGCATTTAGCCGTCTTTTTCGGTTCAACTTGGCAATTACATATTCTTTCTTTTGAAAATTCCAAGCTATTTCCCTGCCAATGCTAATCGCTAATGTAACCATTTTTCAGGTTTCCAAGGAAGTGATCTCGGATATTCATCAGGATATTGTGAAAGTAGCGTCAGTTCAAGAGAGGGGTCAGAGGTCACATGCTCAGATGGTTTCTGCAACCACGATGGTGAGTTTTACGAGTAATTGGGTTGCTTTTATTGTAACAACAACATTTTAAAAATTTGACATAAATTAGAGGGGCTCCCGAAGTATGCGAACCAAGATGGTGGACATCGGAATGTAATATGTGAACTAGGTTAGGGTTAGGCCATAATTTTAGGTATAAATACTACGGGAGGCTCTTGGCTAGTCTTCGAACTGATAATAGGACTAAAATAAAGAAAATTGGAAAAAAATTATCGCCTAACCCTAACCTGTGACCCATGTTACGTTCCGATGTCCGCCATCTTAGTTCGCATACTTCGGGAACACCGACTTAGAATATCTGGAAGACAAAAAAACCAAGATGGCAGTGATTCGAAAAAATTTCCATCTGAACCGATTTAAATAATTTACTATTCGATTTAAAATACCCATCTCTATTGGTGTCATTAAGCCATTCTATAGACGAGGTGTGTGCAATAGGCTGCTTGTAGGCCTCAACTCGCCAAGCCGTGGACCATTCCCCGACCTTTGACCCCTAAATAATTCTTCCTATACCTCACCATTGCAAAATTTCGGGGTTTATTTTAAGTGTGGTTTCGCGAGTTGGCGCTCGTAAAATGGGGTATGTGTTTCAAACCATCATTATGATTCAAAGCATTCAAAAATCTGTTTTTTGAAAGTACCGGTAAATAATTTTAGCCCAGTCTATCACAGCTATTTCTACACTAATTATTTATTACTGCAATTAAATTGAAACTCCTAAGAAGACAGAGTGATCGTTGAATTATTTGATTTATATTTAAATTTCCGAAACTCAACTGAAAACTAACGAATAGAGTTCAGAAACGCGAAAACGAGGTAATGTTTACAACCGCGCCTGAAAAGTGTCTGAGCGGATGCGGAAAGGGAGCATTGTCACTTTTAGCATCTTGCTGATTGGCCAATGTCATGAAGTAAACAAGGAAGTCAATGCTCGGGGTAAGGTCAATTGAGTGTGTCCCTTGTCAACACTCAGATGAAACATGTGTCGCCCTGCTAGAAATTTGAAGTTGGTTATATGACCCGCCGCCAAAAAATATTGCACACCACTGTTAGAGACATTTCTTACCCTGGGATTACCTACTTATACAGTATATGCTCGTTTTACCGCCCGATCTTGATTAAGGGCCCGTTTGAATAGCCGCCCGTGTGAACAGAACATAAAATTAAATAAGGGCCGGTGCTTGAATACCCGCCCGATGTAGAATCTGATTTTTTGAGAGGCGCTTTTGTCACAACGCTGTTGAATTTTGAGCGCTGGTAGATAACACTCACACCTTCGGCGTCCAATCATATAACAGATAGCATTGATTACGTAACACTGTGGTTCTCAAACTGGGTGTCGCGGCTTCCAAGTGCATCGTTTCAATATTGATAGGGCGTCGCAAAACTTTTCTCTTTTCGTGGATTTGTACCTTCGATGCGTGGAAAAAGTCAAAAAATTTTCGTTTTCGTTTAAATCATCAAGCGCCCGTGCTTGAGTAAGGGCCGGTTTGAATAAGGGCACAGTTAGTATGTTTGGTTAAAAAATATGGGCCCTGGCTACAAAACGAGCAAATACGGTATTCAGATTATTATCTTGTATTCTCTTGTCTATATTCAGAGCATGAATGTGCAGAGAAAGAAAACAGAGCTGCTTTCCCTCACAAAATCAATAAGGGATCAAGTGGAGAGTTCGGACATAAAAGTAAGTGAATTGATATTTTATTTTATAAGGGTGTTTCACATATTTTAATAGGGTGTTTTCACCCTCTATTCAGGGGATCTCCACCTTTTTTCTGTCAAGTACCACCCAAGTCACGAAACAATCAACGCGAACCCCCGGTAATCAGACATCGAACAAAGTTGTGATATAGTGACTAACAATTTGTTGAAACAACAATTTATCGACCAGATGTAACTAAATTAAATCTTCGTGTTGATATTATTGCCCTTGTCCTCCGCCTAACTAATGAATTCTTAAAATCTCTCCCAAGTTTAAAAAGCATAATCACTTCCTCCAATGCTCGCAACACGCTGTCTTTTGAGATTTCACAATTTGCCTGCAAAAGCGTGAATTTCACGTTGCTGCGTCACAATCGCAACATCCGGGAAAATCTACGTTTCGATCGACACGCATTTTCCCATGGTAGTAATGAAGAATATTAAAAAACAGCAACACACTAAAACTTGACTGCCGTCCAAGTACCCCTGGAAATCTTCTCGTGAACTCCTGGGGGATCGTGAACCCCTGCCTTATTTGATCGAGGCTCTGTTTTAGGGATTCGCGGGTTCGAATCCTGCAGAATAATCATGTGCGAGAGGTTGCTGGACTCCTCACTGCCGAAGGGTGTTTCACCACCAAACCTATGCAATAACTGGCTAACTAATGCAATACCCAATATGGACTGGCAACCGGGCAAGAGGCCAGGGTTTGTCATATGATTAAGCTTTTCTATTCAACTCAAGAGTCGGGCTGCATACGAACACAAATATATTTCTGTAACTTTTCGTCTGACCGAGGTCAGACTTCTTCAAACAAGCATTTTACAACTATGTCTGAAGAAGTCTGACGTCGCTCAGACGAAACCTTACAGAAATATATTTGTGTTAGTTCTTGAATAGAATAGTCATTACTTATCGATTTTAATCGGTAAGTATGTTGATAGGTATTTGTATGTCTGTATGTTTGTCTGTTAGATGCACGCGATATCTCACGAAAGCAAGATTGAATCTGCTCCAGATTTTGCATGTGCATTCATCTTATCTCGGACCAGAATCCTATTGATTTTGGGCGAATTATGTCTTATAATTAGCGAGTTATCAATCAATTATTGATATAGTGATCTAGATTTTTGTAAAGTGAGAGAATTTTGAGACCTGCCGAGTGTGTGCGCAGTGCGCAAGTTACAAGAGCGGATGAATCGAAACTGCAGTTCCTGTTTTGGGGGATCCCCTAACTATCGATCGATAAGTCTTCGGTTTCCAATCGATATTCTCGTTTACACTCTTGCTACAGCATCCTTGCGTAATACGCATACGGATCCACCTGCGCAAAGGCATAGAGAGCAAGGAAAGGTAGTTAGTTTCACACAACCTCCACTGTTGATTAAGCTTTGTAACCTTCTTTTTCCCCATCGAGATGAATATGTAAATCCTATCATATCTTAATTCTCAACGTGGCGAAACCTAAAATTATGACCTTATGAAAGAGTTTGAAATCTCCAATTTGAATTAGCTTCTCACAGCCTTGCTTATGACACTTCTTTTCTTCTATCATAGGTTGTCGTCCCTGCCAGATGTCAAGTGCTCCACCAATATCATCTCAGTCGCCTGCAGAAGGGTCATGTGACGAGTGTCAAAGTTCACAGGATACAGGAAGGAAGTGCAAAAAAGGGAAAAAAGTAAAGGTGAGTCTTTAAGTTTCTCCTTTGGATAGGGATGTCCTTATCATTTTCGTTTAGCGTTGTATTTGAGTAGTTTTTTTCAATTTCGGTTAATCAGAATCCAGAAATGTGTACAAAACTTGTAATGTTGGCCACTCGATTTTCTTGTAATGTTGGATAGTTCAAAATCGGGATTGAAAATTCCCATGCAACGGTTTATGAAACGCTGCGCCACTCCTTAGAACAGCTAACTCCACCAGATAATGAAGTTTAGGGTTAAGCGATAATTTTTTTCCAATTTTCCCTATTTTGGTCCTATTATCAGTTCGAAGACTAGTCAAGAGCCTCCCGTAGTATTTATACCTAAAATTATGGCCTAACCCCAACCTAGTACACATATTACATTCCGATGTCCGCCATCTTGGTTCACATACTTCGGGAGCCCGGATGTTTTTGTTCGCAAAATATCCGATTTATGATCAATATGAGCATTTGAATGTCTTTCTATATTAATTGTATGCAATGTAAATCACAGTTGCATGGTCCAACAACAAAAATAATTGCACTCTACTTTTTATGTCCAAACAATATATGCTCAACAAAGTGGAAACACCCTGTGAAATGCCCTTACCAAGCAATGAAACTAAAAAGAACGGGATTTCTTGTGAAGGAAAAAGTAAAACCATTTCTGCGCCTGGCATTGTGGTCCTTTCTAACCGCTCTAGTTAGGAACCACTGCACTAAACATTGTTCAAATTGCTAATTTACAGTTTAATTTTTTTATTTCTTTTTCTCCCTAGAGCAACATCTACAACATTGGAAAACCTTTCTCCTCTCAGGAATCCGGGAATTTTCAATCGAGACTGTTAGAAATGCTGAAAGAGGTGCTTTTCTTTATTTAATACAGCTTTTCGCAAACTGCTGTTTCGCAAACTTCTCCTGAGCGTTCCGAGTAACAGGAATCGAGATTGCGACTAAATTGATCGCTATGGTGATCTCGGTCACAGTTCAGTGGGTCGTAAATTTGTCACCGAACTGGTGGCAAACAGGCGGACACGCCTAGCTATCCAAATCTTGTGCCAGTCTTTGAATCATGGCGTATCGTCAATCGTTCAAACCCTTCAATTTTAGCTTCTAATTTTTAGTGTTCAACAAGCAGGATAAAAAGCGTAGGTGTTCCGAGAAGAAAAAGTTTGAAAACGCTGGTTTAGTACGCAACTGCAAGTCCCAAGAAATTTAGACTCTCAGTCCTAGTACTTCGGTTGAGCAAAATTTTGAATCTTCTCTCGGATGAGAAACATTTTTCATCTGATTCCAGACACTAAATTGGACCCTCATTTATAAAATTTTCCTGCCTCTGAGCATCGTTAAAATTTGGATTGTGACCCCAACACTGGGTGTTTGTTAAAACAATTATGATTCATGGAAGACGTGCAAAACTGATTATTCAACTGGTTGAAGTATTGAATGGATTAAACATCTAAATCAGCTATAATTATGCGCACCAAGATGTCTCACAACCTGAATTCAAACCGGTACACACACATACTATGTTCAGGTTGTGCGACGTCTTGGTGCTCCATAAGTATGCGCACCAAGATGTCGCACAACCTTGAATTCAAACCGGTACACACACATACTATGTTCAGGTTGTGCGACGTCTTGGTGGTCCATAAGTATGCGCACCAAGATGTCGCACAACCTGAATTCTAACCGGTACACACATACTAGGATAGGATAGGATTTACATATTTATCCCGGGGGAGAGGAAAGCCGATAAAACGGCTTATTCATATGGCGAACCACGGCCTCTCGTCCGGTTACCATTCCAAGTCGGGTATGGGATTAGATTTACTGTATTGTTTGTTTTCGGAAGCATGGACTTGGTGGTGGAGGAAGCCGTAACCGCCCAGCTGTTATGTGAACCACCCAACGACGGCGAGGAGTCCAGCAATCCTCTCGCACATAACCATCTCTGCATGGGATTCGAACCTGCGAACCCACGCAGAGTAGTTAGAGGTGCGGGGGCGAGCGTATTCCTAACGCTTAGCCCGTTGAGCCACACCGCCGCGCCTATGTTCAGGTTGTGCGCCATCTTGGTGCGCATACTTCTGGAGGTCCATAAAATGTTATGTTTTGCTTTGTGCATTTATAGGAACCTGACAAATTCACTAGTCGAAGCCAAAGAGATAAACAAGGTGTTGTCAATGGCGATGGAAATGGTAAGTAAAGTTTTTACATAAATCAGTGTATTCGGGGAGGGGGGGGCGTACATGGAGGGGGGGGTGGTGGAATTTGTGCAAACCTTGGGGGGAGAAGATTTTTATGTCGGACCCCCCCCCCCCTTGGATATTTAGAGAAAAAAAAAGGGTATCGTAAATAACAATTTCTCGTAGGTTGAACACTTTTCCGACCTTCAAAGAAAATCCACATTTTCGTGCTTTCTGGCGGCTCAGACCATTCGGTCTAACTAGGCCAAGGTGATCCAAGGTTGTCGGCTCCGCGGGCCACAAAATTATTTTTGCATTGTTCGCGGGCCACAATAGTACTAAAAATAGGTGAACAGTGCAATACAAAACAAACACTTTTATTGTACAAACACATAGTTATCAGGCATAGCCATTCTAGGCTAATAGAATCCGCATTCGATTTTTACTTTTCTATGATGCCTATATTGTTTGCATATATTCCCGACCAAAAATATAGAAAACCAGATAACAATTTAGACTGTCAAGCACATCATTCAACTTCGCTAGTTGCCTCAGCTAGCCATAACACTAATTAATTCAGTGACATTAGTGATGTAACAATATGTCAAAAGATTTTTCTGATTAATTTTATGACGAAACAACACGAAATGCGATTTTTTGATTACGCTCCGAATGTGACGCGGGCCACAGATAATGAAGCAGCGGGCCACATGTGCCCCGCGTGCCTGGGTTTGGACCTCCCTGAACTCGGCAAAAAGCATTTCAAGAACCCCCTCATTTAAAAGTATTTGGCTACAGGCCTGTCTATTTTACCATTGTTTTCTTATATTCAAGCATTATCACAAAGTCCACAAGCTAAAGCTTGATTACAAAGTATCTCATCATGTTTTTAAACTTACGCTTGTTTGTTTTTCATAATAGGTTCTGAAGGTCACGACCCCGATGACGAGGAAAGTGACGGCGACGGTTTAACAGCGGAAGAGATTGCGGAGTTCGAGAGAGACAGGAATCGAATTCGAGAGGAAAGAATCGTTCTACGAGAAAAAATTCGAAAGAACTTTCTGCATTTTTGTGGAAAGGGGGACGAATTAAGTGAAGGTGCCAAGGTTGCTAACGGCAACGATGGAGGCAGTGGTCACCAGAGCGTGACTGTCGTCAATGGCAACCAACAACGTAAGGGGAAACCCCAAAATGGTACAAACCATTCCAATGGGAAAAAAGTGAAATCCCGTAAATAGTTTAACCAAAAAATTACGACTCAATTTTTCCAGAAAAACTGAAAATTCCCGATTTTTATGTTTTTATTATGTTTATTGTAATTTGTTATTTCCATACGTTGAACAGCAGGGCTTCGGAGCTGGAAAACTTTTATTGACAATTCTCAACATCCTGAAAACTAACTGTCCTCCCAAAAACATTGACCTGACTCTGAACTTAAAATATTTTAATAAGTTATAAAAAAAATCCTTTTCCAAAGTCCTTTGGTTTGTTTCTAGGGGCTTTGCTTATAATAATTTGTTTTGATTTGATAGCTGATTTCTACTTCTGACTCTAAGCTTATAAATTATTTTAATTGTATTTAAAACTTTGGACTTGCGAATTTTTACTTTCAAATCGTTTTATTTTGGTTCTCGGGGTTCAAAATTTTGACTTTGACTCTCAAACGTCAAAGGGACTCTCTTCAGAATTTTGGCCATCTGGTAAAATTTCTAATCCTTGGAAAAAAAAAATGCCGATCTCCTCTGCTCTGCTGGACGTAAAAACACATTGCCAAAAATGAGCATAATACAATTCTTATGCGCCTCTAATTTTTGTCAAAAACCCAAAAAGTGGGATATTTTACAAAAAAAAATAATTGTAGTTTACACATATCGTTTGTTTATTGATGATAGCAAATATTGTTACCATAAACATGAGGTTATTCTGCTATTATATTTTAGATGAAAGTAGGTGTTGCCGTTGGCTGCATTATATTGAATAAAATGCTGTTATATAATTTTATTGAATGATTTATCAAGATGTTTGCAACTATGGATACAGAAGAGCCAGATACAAACAGCTTTATTGGACACGTAGTGGACATAACGATCGTTTCAATATTATGTTGTTGTTCTTTGACACGTTTTTAAAAAGTCGCTTTTCTCTTCGAATACTGGACCAATTGCTTTGAAATTTTCAGTGGTTAAAGATAAAAATTTTCTCCAGAAGGCTATTACTTTTTTTCCCGCTATGACGTCATCAAAATTATGTGACTTTACGTGTCCATATATTTGAGCATAGCTCTCTTGTTTAACATAGGCTTTCTAGTAGTTTCAGTCACAAAAATATTGGTTGTTGATCTTGACATCACACAAGCTAGCTGTTATGGCATTGTAATGTTATAGGCATAGATAATAAATTGGACTCGGATATAGGCTTCGCAACGGAAAAGGATTGGAATTACTCTGATGTACCAGATTAAAAAACAAAATTGGAAACTCGTTTCGCGGGCACACGCAATTCAAAATTGGCACTTTTTTGTGAGCCGCGCAATCTTTTTCTATGGGACCCTTGGATGCGCATGTCTGCTTTATCAGAAAGGAGATGTGCTGTTTTGATAAGTGATATTTGGGGAAAAATCCTTTTTTCGAAAATAAGGAATGAATCGGTTTCATTATTTACATATGCTTGAACAGGGTTGTTTAACATTTTGGTGGTCCCTATAACAAATTTACCCATGTGAGCGCTTTTTTAAATATAAACTGGAGGAATAGGATATTATACCTTATGGAAAAATGTAGTGTTTAAAAAGGGCCACAGTAAATGGCTCATCGGGCCACCAGTTACACACCCCTGTGCTAGGAAGTTGTTAGTTATGAGCAGAATAGGATTTAATATTTTTTCCGTTGGAGAAGAAATATGGCTTGGTTAATCGTATGCATTGATATATGTTCAAGTCTTTTTTGGAATTTCAAAAGTCACAAGACCGAACGTGTCATGATCTGAGTGAAGTTTGTTATAAAAATGATTTTATTTCCAGGCTCATGTTGATAACATGCTCAAGCGCTGAACATATCCTGGGGTTAGGGTTAGGCCATAATTTTATTCCAATTTCCCTTATTTTAGTCCTACTATGAGTTCGAAGACTAGCCAAGAGCCTCCCGTAGTATTTATACCTAAAATTATGGCCTAACCCTAACCTAGTACACATATTACATTCCGATGTCCGCCATCTTGGTTCGCATACTTCAGGAGCCCCAACGGGTACTAGGTTAGGGTTAGGCCATAATTTTAGGTATAAATACTACGGGAGGCTCTTGGCTAGTCTTCGAACTGATAATAGGACTAAAATAAGGAAAATTGGAAAATAGTTATCGCCTAACCCTAACCTGTTAGTGTTACGTTCCGATGTCCGCCATCTTGGCTCGCATACTTCTCTGTTGCGTAAAATATTCAATCCATGACCGATGCGAGCATTTAACGTGTCTCGTCGTTATAATGTAATTGTGCTCATCGTTACTCACGTTTGATTCGAAATTACTATTAGGATTACTAAAATGGAAGAATACTATTCTAAAAAAACATAAAATATGTGATAAACTGCCAACTATACATAAATTAGAGTCGTATTTTTGCAATCTTGGGATTTGTCAAACTTGATTTGTTCTTTTGCACTTGAGATTATTTTTGAGCAAGATATCGCCGTTTAAAAAATCACAATGTCCGGGCAAAATACGAACAATTGAAATTTATTTTATTGCATTCGGCTCCGTCGGTAGTTTCATAAATTAAAAAAAAGGTACATCGCGGCTCCGTCGGTAATTTCGAAATGGGAAAAACGGGTACATCGCGCGAACAATTGACTGTGTTTCGATTTCGCAGTTACTACGATGAAAACCTAACATAACACCAAATTTTGTGATTTACAATGTCTATAAAAGCGTTTTCAATCTGAGGTGAGTCTGCTGAAACCAAACGTGTGATCTTCCATTTTAAGTTTCCGTTTTAATATTTTAGAATGCCGTTTTTCAATCAAGAAATTTGAGTTGCGGATTTGCCTCTGTATTAATTATTATTTTTAGCATTTCGTCGCCGATGACTATAATATGGTAACATTTTTCACATTAAACTCATAATTCCCCACGAGAACAAAAAAGCAATTAACGTCGTCATTGTGTAACAATACCTGTATATGCCGAGGGAAATTTTTATTCAGGAAGAATAAACACCGGCGTAAAAATGTTTAAAACACGCCATGCTGACGAAAAAAATCGGCGATTGTAACGAAATAAAATCGCGCACGCCTTCCAAAAATCTCAAAAGGGAAAAGATTTGACCCTTATTTTATTAATTTGTTTGCCAAGTGTCAAATTTACAGCTTTAGTATATACAATTTAGGTTTGAAATTTAGATTTATTTTTGACTTGTATTAACCCTATTAAAAAGGTTCAGCATTTAAAATAAGTAAAGTACTTTTACCTTGCTCAGGAATATTAATCTAAAAGTAACAATTTTAACATTTATTTTGGGGCTCCGCGAATAATATTCAACCTTTCAAGGGCTCCGCAACACCGAGAGTTTGAGAACCCCTGGAGTAAAGCATCCTAAAAATAATAGGGGCCAAATATCAGGAGTGGGCAACATTTTTTAGTATAAGAGCCGCATGCAGCAAGTCAGAAATATGTGAGAGTCGCACAATTTTTGAAATTGATCATATATGTATATTAGAAAACCGTGAGCTGAAAAGAACTTTACACAAACATATAATAACAATATTGCAAAGTATATATTCTTCAATCGCTTAAGGAATGAAAGAAAAAAAATGTTACTTTACAGTTTCTCTTAGTTACATCCGGATAATATATAATTATTGTCAGCGAGAAGAGCGCACAAAAACTCCGGCGAGCAGCATTTACAGCGGTTTGTCCACCGTTGCCATATATCATTTGAAAAATCGCCTCTTCACAAACTTTTAGGAGTGATTCTTAATATTCGGACACGAAATGGGCCTATGGATCATTTTGTTATTATTTTGTTATTGTTGATCTTGTTGTTAGCATTATTTTTCTTCTTCTGTAAGAAAATCGCTCTTGTTTTCAGTGGTCAAAGATTGCATTTTTCGCTAAAAGGCTATTACTTTTATTCGGTGACCGTACATTTGAACCCATGTACATTTGAACCCATGCGTATATCCACGGGTTCAATCTATATGCGGGTGCTAAAACCCATGGGTTAGGGTTAGTATGGGTTTAACTATCCGTGAAACAAAAAAAATTCCATAGGTGCAATAGCGTACAGGTGCAATTGTCATGGGTTCAAATGTACGTGGGTTCAAATGTGATGGAACCCTTTTATTCGTGCCTAAAATATTCGTAGGCTTTATGGGAATTCGTTTTGTTTGCGATAACGTCATAAAAATTGCGAACCTTGTGTCGATCAAAGTGTCTATAATATAATGTTATAGTCACTTTGGTGTCGTTTACGTTTGCGTTGGTCGTGAAGTTTGTGGTACGTTTTAGCCTCGTGTATATATGAGTATCGCGCTCTTGTTTATTAAACTGGAAATGCCATATCGATCAATTAGCCATCAATTTTGTTTATACGCCCTTGGTCCAGAATGAGTCTTTGCTCAACCAACCGGTTCAGCATCGCCTTGCGTCATCTATTGCTGGTAAACATTTGTGATTTTGTAGACTCAAATTTCGTGAGGGATGATACGCGCGGGTTTGGTAACCCTTTGTGACTTATGAACTATTTCATCCATTTCTATGTCTCTCAATGGATAGGACAGGATTGGCATATTCACACAGGGGGGATAGAAAGCCGAATGATCATATGGCGAACCACGGCCTCTCGCTCGTACATGAGTCCATGTCGGTATGAGATCAATTTGCAAGTTATATCTTTCTGATGTATAGACTCGATAGTGGAGGAAGTCGTGGAGTCTAGCTATCCTCACGTGCATAAGTTTTCTCCACGGAATGCGAATGTTTATACTAATACACTTTCACACGATTTTGGTTCAGCTTTCAGAAAATTCAAAATGATTTTTTATCTAAATTAAAGGACTTAGTTTTACTGTACTTCAAGTCGTCTCATCGATATTTCCTCTCGTATAAGTTATACATGAAAATTCAACCTCAAGTTCTACATTATTTCAAATCCGGAAGATGGGGCTAAAGAGCTCTGAGTTTGTGGGATTATTGGTTGTCTTGAGAACTAAGACGCTACTACGCATTCGTGAGCAGTTTGCGGTGGCGGTCGGTGGTGTTTCGCCGCGCGCTTATATAAACTATTCGAATCAGAGCGAAAAAGACATTGAATTGAGGCGATTTAACAGAATTTTGTTACTGAAAAATTTATCATAAACATTAGAAATTGTTTCTACTGCATGCAAAACGAGGTTAAAATTATTGATTTGAGTTAGTGTTCATTTAGTTTAAGTTTTTTGCATGGTAACAGTCAGATAGCATGCTACAGTCTGACATTGCTAGGGATAGGATTTCCATATACTAGATTGAGAGAAGTAGAAATGACAGAAAAACAACATTTAGAAACATCCCATCAATATGCACCCTTGTACTCTTGTAATAGATTGTATATTCAACTTCAATCAAACTAAACTAAGAAAGATTTATAGGTTACATATTTCACAATTCAATAATTGTATAACTTTCTTATCCTTTTGATATGGGAATCAACTCAACTAGGTTAACTAGTATCTAATAAAAACTTTGTTTCAGAGGTATGGCCCTAATAGTGGAAGAAACCGCCCTGTAGCAAAAAGAATTCTAACAATGGATAGGATAGGATTACATATTTATCCCGGGGGAGAGGAAAGCCGATAAGACGGCTTATCCATATGGCGAACCACGGCCTCTCGTCCGGTTACCATTCCAAGTAGGGTATGGGATTAGTTTTACTGTATTGTTTGTTTTCGAAAGCATGGACTTGGTGGTGGAGGAAGCCGTAACCGACCAGCGGTTACGTGAACCACCCAACGACGGCGAGGAGTCCAGCAATCCTCTCGCACATAACCATCCCTGCATGGGATTCAAACCCGCGAACCCACGCAGAGTAATTAGAGGTGCGGTGGCGAGCGTATTCCTAACGCTTAGCCCGTTGAGCCACACCGCCGCGCGCTCATACATACAACAATATAGGATTAACTTTATTATTCCAGCTAGGACATTGATTCTTCTTAACAATATAAATGAATAAACAAACAAAAACTCAAATCAACTTGGGGCTTTCTACTGTGTATTGTTCATATAATATTCATCCAATGAATTAGGACAATATTGATTTTAATCAGACTCAGATAGACAGTGCTCTATGTTGCTGAATATTTAATGAGGTCCAGTCTGTTGTGACAATTAATTAATTACTCTTAATTGCCTTCCAATATGGTGTTTTTGTATTAGATTGTTCTTAAAACTAGAGTTTATTCAAATTGACAGTATGTTTATTTTTTAGTTTATGAGTGCCATATGCTTTATAACTGTTTATCATTTAATGTTAAAATATGAATTGTCAGAGTTATTCAATTGTAAATATAGTGCTTTGATTCTGGCAGATTAGATTTATTTCTCTTTCATTGTGGACATTTGATGGGATTGTATCTGTTGGAAATTTAAAATATCAGTGAATGAGATTTTTATTTTATCCAAGTTTGTTCAGAGCTAGATCGCAAGTTTTTAATCAAAATCTTGCCTAGGGGATATCCAGATAGCTTTGCAAGTGAACAGGGCTACATTTCAGATTGTAAAATTATTTGGATCGAGATATTTCTACTGAAATAATGAATCCTACCAGTAAATATGAAGTCTTAATGCTATTGACTTTAACTTCAAGTCTTGAATTTACGGGTGTGTGCCATGATAATCCCTATGGTTTCAGTAGCTCCTGCATACCAGCATCATTATGTCGCATGTAACTTAATTCAGAGATGATAAGTCTTCTTTACTTTAAAGATAGTGTAAGTGAACCTACCATGAGCAAATTTTTCTAAAAAAAGAAACCGAGGAATGTTTTATAATTTGTCTTAGTTAAATGAGCCTGTATTTCAGTACTATTCCCCACAGGAATCGATGAGCCATGATTTGCCGGAATAATCCTATAATAATGAGGGTGTACAAATGCCGCTATTTTACGATTCAATGGTTATTAAAAGACTCTTTTTACTGTCATGGACAAAACACAAATTCTTTAAATTTCAAATTGTTTTGATTAGTGGACGAATAGCTTTTTGATTCTCTATGAGTATCTCGCGGAGCCCTTCGTATGAAGAACTTTAAGAACCTATGATATAGAGAAGGGGTGGCCAACTTGCTTTCAACCACGATCGACTAAAATTTCCCAAAAAAAAAATTGGGCATTGTGATGCCATTGCTACTGTTGCGAATAAAATTTATCACATATGCTTTATCGGGCTTGCCCAGACACAATGATGTATGTGTATATCGTATTTTGCGCATGTGCGGTAATGTATTCGTCCTGTTTTAAAACATACCACAAGCTCTGCATCAATCTGGATCAAGGCAATTTTTTAGCTATGTTATTAAATTCACTAACATCAGAGGCTACTTGAGACGTGGTGATCGACCGGTCGATCGCGATCGACATGTTGGCCACTCCTGATATAGGGTACTCATAGCTATATTAGAACATTAGTCCTTATCACGAGAAGAAGAAAGCCAATTCAAAAAATTTCTTTGCCACAGTAATCAATGAAGCGTGGTTAGTCGGAATAGTTGTATTTAACCCTTTTCATGCGATTTTTATTTTTTATTAAATAATCATATTTTCTACACCGATTTTATGCATTTGTACCCCCACAACTAATCGATAGACTATCGAAAAACTAATGATCCTCTGCTGCCCACTGACGGCTCGTTGGAAAGCTTATTTAAAGAGCTTGCAATTGGCGATTAAAAAAAAAGTTTTTTTTAAAAGTGGTGGTCTGAGTCACAAACCGAATGGAAAAAAGGCATTTTTTTTTCTTGAGAGTTGAAACTTCAAACCGTGATAAAAAATAGAAATATTCGCTAAATCCTTTACTGTTATCGCTTCGTGGTTGGCAAACAATAGCATAATATTGCTGTAGCAATTTCGTGATCTAACTCAAAATACTTTGGTAGATGGAGGAGATAATAGGTCTTCTATTACCACCCAAAAAACACTGAAATTTGCATAAATTACAAAAAACACTCCCTCGTTCCGCCGCAAATAAAATTCCTGTCAGAAACGAAAGCGAGATTTATGTTAATCGCTTATGTTAATCTCGAAGAAGACTTCTTATCAATAAACTAAAACCCGGAAAAACTAGACCAACAGTTTGCGACCGATTGCTAAATAAAACAGTGGAGTACATCAACGTACCCGCCGCAATCTAGCGACTCTTGTCGTTGGTACGTAGCGTGCCCACCGCACGGGAAGGGTTAAACAGTGTGGTATCAATGCTGCCATATCATACTGATGCCAAATTGAACTAAAGTAAACTAACTATTTTTAGGTTCGTTATTTAAGTTACTGTAAGTGCAGTAGAAACCAAATTATGCTTAATGGTTTACATTTATCATGACTTGGAGATACAGAGACCCAACACATGAGTGAATTTATTGGGAATAACATTTCAAAATAATAAGAAAGAATGGCGTTACCTGAAGGAATGTATAGGTTTGTTCCGGGAGAGGAAGAATTGCAGAAATTTATAAGTTCTGCTGCGAATCAAAGCGTACGACCGTACAACACGAATGAGGAATATCTTTATGCTATGAAAGAGGATTTGGCCGAATGGTTTAAGGTAATTTGGTTTTGTAATTAAAAATATCATATCCTTTTGTTTTATTGTTTATTGTGTATGGATTTAGTAATTGAGTGAACGAAAAACCATTATGCCTCAAGATTTTTTTTTGAAATGGGGAATAATAATGTAAGCATATCATTTTCCATTCTGTGGAATAAATTTGATTATTTGGTGAGCTGAAGATAACTCTTTTTCCATCAAAAATTTTTATAAGACAAAAACAATTAACCTATGCATGTTTATAATACAAAATACGATACTCTCGTAGTATGTGTACCAGGTTAGGGTTAGGGCATAATTTTATTTCTAATTTTCTTATATTAGTTCTATTACGAGTTCGGGGACTGTCTGTATTACCCAAGTGAATAGGTTTCCGTCCCTTTACATTTTACAATTTGATTTTAAAATAGGCGAACAAAATTAGTTACCTCCATATTGGTACACACATTTCTGGAGCGCCTCTATTTTGGCTCCTAACTGAATTTTTAATTTCCACAGGAACTTTACCAAGTCAACATTTATGTCGATAACTTCATTGAATTTTTACAAGATGGAAATCTGCTTTGTGAACATGCAAACAGTGTCAATGAAAAAGCCAATGAATTTCGAACTCTGCATCGTGGGGATCCCATACTTGACCGAATAATCTTACCATCCAAAACTGTGCATTATAATCCGGTAAGCATTTTTTATTATTATTTTAATTGTGATAAATTTGAGTTCGACTAAAAATGGTAAATTGTAAGGATAGGTGGCCATGGCCATCTCATAAAAGTCCACAAAGTGCCTTGTTGGTCTGCAGATGTATTGCCCACATTGAGTGAAAAGTTATTTATAGTTACCTAATAAACTAATCTCGATAAAACACTTATTTGATTTGATTGAATTTTTATGTCTCCAGTCCACAATGATTAATTATGCTTCAAAAATGGTCCCTGGACAGTAAATTTGGGGAACACTCATATAAGCATTTGGGTTGGACAGGACTGCTTGTTTAGAGTGAAAGTATGATAAAAGCTCATAAATTGCAGGCGATAAAATGAAATTAAAAAAGCAATAAAACGTTATAATTTAGGTGGGGGCTCCCGAAGTATGCGAACCAAGATGGCGGACATCGGAATGTAATATGTGTACTAGGTTAGGGTTAGGCCATACTTTTAGGTATAAATACTACGGGAGGCTCTTGGCTAGTCTTCGAACTGATAATAGGACTAAAATAAGGAAAATTGGAAAAAAATTATCGCCTAACCCTAACCTGTTACCCATGTTACGTTCCGATGTCCGCCATCTTGGTTCGCATACTTCGGGAGCACCTTTAGGTGAATATTATTAGGAAAAGTGAAAAAAAAACATTTGGTTAATCTATTTCATCGACTTTCCGCTCCCCTTAGATTCTAGGAGCAAGAAAATCCTGGGTTCATCATTCTGAAAAATCATTCGGTTTTATTCTTTTCTTGTCGAAAACTGTCCAATCCCGTCTGTGACCTTCATTGTTGTGTTTTTACTAATTATGTTTGTTAGTTTGGATTATCCATTTTAATCTGATTGCTGTATTGATTTCATTTGTATTGGGAATGCTATGAAGGGCATGGGAGTCCAAGGAACTTAAATGGAATTCTAATTTATTAAAGGTTATATTTGAACCCAATTTAAACGAGCATAAGATGCAAATTTTTTATGTGCTAGTACAGTGGTTTTCAAACTTTTTAAGCCGCTCCATTTTTTATAATTTGTCAAATTTTGTGCCCCACCTCAAAAATAACTAGCTAACAGTGGGCAACAAATAACAGATAGTAACGTGAAAGTATGTTTTATTCAAAAAAACACGTTGAAAATACGTTTACATAATAAGTGAACGTGAATACCCAAAATGGGTCGGGCAAGATCTAACAAATATTTTATTTATTTTTTAATTAGATTCATGCCCCCTCAACAAATTATCTTCGCCCCCCCCCAAGTGAGTGGGAAACGCTGTGCTAGTATCAACAATAGTTCTGGCATAAATTAAATCTGTATTGTATACTACATTTTCTCGAAATGAATTTCATGAAATAATTTTTTTGAAATTGTATGATGGATAGCATCTCGTTTTTGATTGTTATAGTAATGGCCTTTTCGGGATGATTAATGAGGGAGGGTTCAAATAGGTTTGCTTGTTTTTCACCCCTTGGTCTTATCGCAGCAGAAAATTGAAAAAAAGGGTACTAGTTACTTAAAAGAAAATTTTTTTACGAGCCCCATAACCCTAAATCAGGGGTTCCCAAACCAGGGGTCACGACCCCAAATTGGGTCGGAGTGATAAGTAGGTAGGGTCGCAAACAAGTCATGGGGTCGGTGGGGTCGCTGAGTTATGGTCAAGTATGTATGTACAAAACATCTAAGATTTGATAAATTATGTTAAATTTAGCAGCTTGTACCATGGCTTACTGTAAAACAGGCCCATAGGCATCGCTCTATGCTTATGCTATATAGAAAATGTAGGTGCTTATTGCGACATCACTGTTTGGTTTTAGCTTATTTTACTTAATATCACCACATGACCAAACTCAAAAGTCAAATATATATATTGACCTGGGGTCGCACTGGACACTTGAAAGTTGTCTTCGGGGTCGTCCTAAAAAAAAGCTTGGGAACCCCTGCCCTAAATTAAGGACATAATTCTTGGTATTTAGACTCTTGGCAACTTTGCTCAGAGATGAGTCTTCTTTACCTCTGAGTTAATATGTTAACTTATTGAAGCATACGAAGCAGACAAGGGCAAAGTACAGCCTGTTGGGTAATTCAATCTGGCCTTCCTGATGATGCTACAACCAGACTAAAACCAATTTTTGATGTTCTAGCTAAAAATATATAATATCAAGGAATTTGTTGATTGCGGTTAAATTTAGTTTTGGCACGAGGCCTATTGTTTACCACTTTGCTTGGTAACACTGTAAATATTGTTCATAAAATGTTACTTTTAGCGTCACTCTTACATGACCCGCCAGTGAACGTAGGCAAAATTTTTGGCCCCTAATCCAAAAACCTTGCTCACCCCTGGTACAGGGCAAAATACCTTGAAATTCGAAAATTTTAAATGAAAAAAATAACAATCTTTTCACAGGGTCGTCATGCAAGTACCTTCTTTGCTCGAGACAACGTTGCCAACTTCATTGGTTGGTGCAGAAAGGAACTTAGGATCGCTGAAGCCGTCATGTTTGAGTCCAATGATTTGATCTTGAGAAAAAATGAAAAGAATTTCATATTGTGTTTACTTGAGGTGTGTTATTCATTCATTTTTCCATGAGGTTTCATTATATTTTCATATTTTGCTTTTTCTACTGAAATATTATGATGGAAATTGAAGTCTTTTAACTTGTGAGATCATATTTTCAGATATCAAATATTCCTGTTGTATGTACCAAATATTATTAGAGAAATAATGTCTCTTGAGGAAAAATAATAATAATTTCATATTGTGTTTTCTTGATGTGTGTAATCCACTCATTTTTTCATGAGATTCAAATATATTTTTCATATTTATCATAAGAAGCGTTTTCCTTGCTTCCTAAAATATTATTGGGAAGATAATGTCTCTTTATTAAGGTTGTTCAACCTAATAAACCTGAAACTAGTGATGGCCCATACCTAACACCTTTGAATACATTCTAAAATAATAATTCAGTTAGAATATGGAATACTGAATAAGTGAATATACAATATACATCTGAGTAGTTTACATCGTGGTCTTTTAAAATGAAGTACTCCGAAAATAAGTTTCGGGCGATTGCAAGTCCTTACAGCCAGTTTAGCTTCCTGTCCATGAAATTAAATAAGGTGTAGTCTGTAGAATGTGATCGAAAAACGACCGTTGCGATATCTTTGACTCAAATTTATCTTAGCTACTCATTGTCCAACTTTTCCCTGCGTTTTGCAATCTGCTCGTTCAGAGCAAAATATGGGAATGGGCTTTCTCATCAAACAAAATAATTCATTAATCAAGGTTGCACGACGGGGGTCAAAGTTCGGCGTACCGGCTCCAGTTTTGATTCAAATGGAAGAGGAAATCGACGAGGAGATTGAGCAAGATTTGAGGGATGAACAGAGTGAGGAGGAATGTGAAGAACAGGAGGAGGAAATAATCCGGGAACCCCCTAAACAGAAAGTTGCCTGTGATTTCAAGAGCTTGGATGAAATGGTGAGTTTGGTTAAAAGCATAGAGCAGAGGTTCCCGCCCATAGCCCCCTGAGGGGGTCACAGAGCAGTTGGGGGGGGACCTCAGTGCTAGTCTTAGAACTGTTTTTGCATTTCCCTTTACAAGGAATTCCCTATTCTACAAGTTTCATTGCTCGATAAAGGTATTCCAAAGGGCGTTTTCACTTTGTTGAGCATAAATTGTTTGAACATAATAGGATTTGTGGAAATTTCGTGGAAATATAATAGAAGTTATATATGGAAGTTATTTTTACTCAATAGGTATATTTAGAAATGTCTCATTAAAACATTATTTTAAACCAAATAGCATTATATGCGTTTTTAGTATTTTAATAAAAGTACAGAATAGGACAATACACCTTATTATATATAGGCCTATTCTATTCACAATTCTATCATAAATTTAGCATAAAGATTAAGATTGGAAAGTTTAGGAATTTTTAGCAAGAGATAATCTGTCTCTAATTCCGATGTTCGGATAGTGTAAAGAGATTTTGTAAATTTTATTTTCAGAATATGTTATGATATATGCATAAAATTTGATTTCATGCAACAATTTTTACTCAAACGATATTGAATGCGTTTTTTATGAAATGTTGTATTTTTGATATCTGAATCCTTAAATAGCAATATTTTGAATTTTGTTTGAACAAAATTAATGTTCATTTTTATACTGTATGTCCAGTCAGGATAGGCTTTTAATATCCAATGATTTGTCAATAAAGTATTTGTAGTATTTTATAAATGACTGGCACAATGTACTCATATCATAGTTCTAAGTACTGGGTAATTGGCTTAAAGAGTTTCTCATTGTTGCGCTTATCTTTTGTCTCACTCAGGAATAGGAACAGTATCCTCTCTCTATTCATAACTGCTTTTATAGTCCACGAAAACGCGAGACCTTTATTGTTCTATCCTGGCGAACTCTGTGTTTTTAAGATTTTTGATCTTTCTTAACCTATTGTCACACTTTTGTGCTTTGTTTGCTGAACTTTTAAGCAAAACAAGTTTAGTGATAAGGCTTGAAAAGGTTAATTCAAAACAACAATTGTTTCATCACAATGTTTTCAAAACAACAATATAGATACATACCTTGGGTCGTCTGTTAATAATGGCGCAATAGATATCTCGGGAAAAGAATTCCTTGATCTGTTTGCAAATCGTTTTAAACAAGAACCATGCATACTCGAATTTCTAAAAACTTTATTTTAAACTGAAGACTATTAAACTAACAGTCTCACATTTTCGTCTTTATGGGTGTAGTTTTAAGTTAAAAACACGATTTCACTAGCCAAACTGGACCGGTAATTTCGTCAGACAACTGGACCGGTAATTTCGTCAGACACCAAGGTTCGCATATTATCCGTTAACCGTTTTATAGAATACGATTTTTAGTCATCCCAGGGCGAGGAGGAGAACTAATATGACAGCTTAGGACGACATATGGCCTCTATCAATTCCGGTTACCTGGCTATGTCGGTAACTAAATAACTGTCCCATGGACATGACAGTGTCTTATCGACTTTTTTTTTTTTTTATAAGCATAAAAATCATTTTTAACAAGGTTTTATATGTATTTTTATTTATGCAGATAGTTTGTCAAACTTAGTTTTAAAGTTATCTTAATCGTATCTCCTTCAATACCGAAAGTTTTCAATATCACTGATTCACTGTAATTCAGGAATATACACAAATCTCTCCAAGTTTCTGGTATGATTTTATATGTAAAGCGCTGAATGATATTCTCCGAATGTCTCGAAGTAACCCTACATAATCATTATCTATAATCGGACTCATTGAACTGTGTGCGCAAGATTATCAGATTTCCGCATGATTGTCGTTCACCCTTGTTAGCTATGCATTATGACGTAATATTGAGGAACGACAGTTCGTCTTCAGCGACGGACAACCATCAAAATAACCTCATTTGCACTGTTTGTAAGGGGTAATGCCGAAAGATAACGGTTCTAAATATTTTTGGCAGAGTTTACTCAAAGATACATGGTAATTCTAACCCTTACGTTAAGGTTAAATTCGCCAGTTGGAAATAGTCCGAAAAATCCATTGATTACGAATTTGCAGGCTGTTTAATTTTAAATCAAAATTGGTTAAAACATTCATCAATAACTACAATCTACCAGGTCCGTCATATTTGACGAGCGAGATATTTTGCGATTCTTGGATATTTTTTTATTGAACTTATAGCCATGCCCGTCATTGCCTCGTGTCACACTAAATTTATATCCTAGTTAAGTTTGGAAGTGTATTACTTCCAAATTAAAATTGACATTTAAACCATCTGGATATTCTTTTTTTTATGATTGTTGTAAACTATCTCTTGTCTGACGAAACCTGACCTTGGTCAAACAAAATGTTATAGAATAAAATTTGTGAAATTGCGATGCAAGGCATCTGCACCACTCAATATGACCATAAGTATAAGTTTGTTTCAGCATAATGTACGATAAAATAATTGATAAACCAAACATGGCCGTCTTTTGTCAGGCCTTCGAAATCATCGATGTGCATCATGTATATTTATTTTGTTACGCTAATCCTGTAATCCAAGCCACCGATAAAAGACTTTGTTTTTGCTATTTTGATATTGATATGCTTAACTGTAGACCTGTAGAGATATCGTAGTAGCAACATTATGCCTTGGGCAATAATACTGTCTAAGTTTTGTAGCATTTGTTTGCAAACGCCTTATTGTTTATCTGCGATTTATCTATAGATTTTATTAATCGATGCCGTTTGTTTGATCAGCGCTAAATCAAAATTGATTAACAGATAACTAACGAAAGGTTCATGGTGTCCATACTTGAACGATACTGTTTATAAAAACACCATTTCAAAATAAATTACCCAAAGTGACAAATATCGTTTTTTACACACAATGGACCTAATAGGTGGCTCCCGAAGTATGCGAACCAAGATGGCGGACATCGGAATGTAATATGTGTACTAGGTTAGGGTTAGGCCATAATTTTAGGTATAAATACTACGGGAGGCTCTTGGCTAGTCTTCGAACTGATAATAGGACTAAAATAAGGAAAATTGGAAAAAAATTATCGCCTAACCCTAACTTGTTACCCATGTTACGTTCCGATGTCCGCCATCTTGGTTCGCATACTTCGGGAGCACCCCTAATAGTTTGGTATTCTACAACTCTTACATGCTATTACTTTCTATTTCGGGTATTTTGAATGGTTCTATTTTTGAGGGAATTTGATATATTAATCTTTATTTACCTTGAAAAATTCATACGGTGTTTAAACAGCCTATTCACCTGAAGGACCCTATAAACCCATGAAAAATTCTGAAGTACGTTTAATGGATTAAAAATAAATGGACAAATCAAATCATATAGAAAAAAAAATGAAATTTCAGTTTTCTAAATTCAAAAAATACGCGAATTTTTGGTTAGCCTTCATAATTTCGAGTTTGTTTAAACTGAAGGCTTTAAACAATTCCTAATCTTTCTTCCCCATAAATAACATTGTTGACTTTCGGTCGTATAGTTTCGTAGTGATAAGCATTCCTGTGTGTGCGATACTCCGAGTGGCCCATTTACAGTATTTAATTTGTAATCAATCATTCTCACTCAATATAAGAATGCCCCCTGCGTACGTATTGGCTTACACTTGCAATATTTTATAATATGTCGACATAATTTAGTTTTTGAGTCGCTTTTATACGTTTATTGTGAATATGCCCACTAGATAAAAAAAAAAAATTATGCCAAAAGTTCTTCCAATGATACCAGATTTCAAAAATTCAAAAATATCACACATTGCTGTCGTTACTGTATCCATACTAATCGCTCTTATATATTTGCTTTAGTATTAAAACCACCCATTGTAAAAATACCGTTTGTTCGTCACAATAGGCAATCTTAAACATACCATTGTGTCGTTACTTTAAAGCTTAATCTGTATCGCAAAATAACTTATGAACCCCTTATATGGTCCGTTGATATTATGTACCGATTTTTAATGCTTCAAGCATGGCCCTAACCAAATAATTCAATCGTAAATTGGATACAATTTCCATAAACTTTATTATTCGAAAGTTATTTGCTCTGAAGAATAAATAGACGGAAGTACGATTATTTAAACACGTTTTTGGCGGTATTGATATATATTGATAAGTATAGCAATGAATCTGGGCATTTCCGGGTCAGAGAATTAAATTTGATTATTTTGATTATTTATACCAGGGCTACTCAACTGGCGGACCGCGGTCCGAATCCGGACCTGTCGAGTATTGGATATGGACCGCACCTAATTATTTATTTTGAATCATTAGCCCCACTTTTTGAATTTCCTATTATAAAATGACTTTCATAGTTTTGAATATATACGAAAAGAACTATAACACCATAATAAACACTTTTAATTTGCTACTAATCATTAGTCGGCCGAGGAAGTGCTCGTTTGAGGATGCCGAAATATCATTTCTGGAAAGACCGGACCCAAATAATTTTGATGTTTTGTTTGCTTGTAATAGCGAAAATATTGTATTTAACGATGTGCGTTAACAAATTCATTTAAAAATCCAGATATCTGGAACAAACATCTCGATATACGAATTCCGAGGTAATTCAGAATTCTAGAATACTAGAACTATCCGGTTATGGCCATTTCTATCAAGTCGTTTCATATTCGATGATTAGGAACAGATAATTATAGATGTATGGCCACAGCCACTATTTTAGGGCTATTTTGCTACCATATAGACCGCAGGGTACTCCTGAAGTATGCGCATCAAGATGTCGCACAACCTGAACCCTAACCTGGTACACAACCTGAGTTCAGGTTGTGCGCCATCTTGGTGCGCATACTTCAGGAGGTCCGACCGCAGGTTAGGAATATGGATGGATATATGTCTCAATCGGCATTTGAATGGTTTTCTTTGTATAAGGCCATTGGGCTGCGATATAGACAATAGGTTTATAATATTGGTTGACTGGACTTCGAGGGA